ACAGTGCTAGCGGCATTACTCGTGATATCTCGCGTATTATCCGTGACAACCTCGCTGCCAAGCATGGTGTTCATGCGAGTGCTTACGACCAGCAGCCGGCTTCTCACTCGCCGTACTATCCCCATCATGGCCATGGGACCAACGCTCCCAACTCTTCTTCCAACTCTTCGCCTCACACTCCCATGTTGAACGTCAACATTCTTCAAAACGGCAAGCGTGTCCTCCCCCGCTTCGACCTTTCGGCCGACCAGTGTCCGGACCTCGGAACCTTGAAGCATGCCATCGCCCGTCGTTTCGGCGACCAGTTGCCCGCTCATCTCTCCGATCTCAAGCACGATGGTACCATGCACTCATCCATGGGATGGAAGGTCAAGGTGTTTGCCCCCGATGGTATTACCTCTGTCCACTCGGATGGCGAATGGACCATTGCCCTTCTTTCTGCTGTCACCGTGGACTGGATGGATAGCAACTTGAAGGTGCTAATTGAGGCTGAGTAAGAGCGCGGTTTTTGGATGACTTGACGATTTTCTTTCGATGACGAAATCTTGAATATTCTTGTCGATAATTTGGGTTTATCTTCTGTGTGTTTTTCGGTGTCGGCTTTCTCTTGTCGTTCTTTTTCTCCTATCTTTTCCTTTTCCTCTTTTCGTCTCTTATTCTCCCTTCTCTTCTCTACTCTCTTCTCTTTTCTTTTACATCCATACCCCGATTCAGTTCAGTGTCGGCGTTGCATTAGGTGCTCTTTTCTCTACTCGTTACGAATATGGTGAACGCTATGCTACAGCTATGGCTATGAGACGGTTCAATACCCCGTTATCTCACACCGTGAGGTTACTGAAGGTGGAGGCTTTTTGTTGTGATTAGAAGAGGACATAAAAAATGGGTTACAAGGACTAAAAAGTCTAGATGCTAATATGGGTAAAATAATAAATGGATAAAATAGATACTTGCTACTTTCATCTGCTTCGTTTGTTGTTGTACGGAGTACATATCTGTCCTTCAGGTAAGAACGTTCAACAGTCACATGATAGACAATGGTCTTCGGAAGGAGGAAGGTCCGTCTACCACTCTACCGGCCAGCCACAAGCCATAGCGTTGCTTTAACCTGGGTTTCCAAGCACAGTATTATAATGTGCTCCTTGGCAAAGCCATATTTTACATACCCAAACCATGACGATCTATACATTGCGCCTGATCAATCGTACGACTTTCACTTAAGGATGCGATGAAATGGAGGAACCTGACCTCTTTGATCACTGCATCAGCTTTCCTCATCAGCTTTCCTCATCAGCTTCCCTTCTACTTCACCATCCCAGTCCCGCTACTATGTTAAGGCATTCCCAGTATCTCATTCCTCCTGATGCTCTTATTCCACCATCGTATATCACCGAGTCTTTCGAGGAAGTTGCCCTGCAGGAATATCTCATGACCCACCCGCTTCGTACAGTGAAATGGGCTTGCTCGCTTACATGCCGTGAAGGGCAGTAGAGCCAGGTGCAAAAATGGGGGAAATAATATTCGCCTGAAGCAAATTCATTTGCTGTGCTATAATAAGCAGCACGAGACAGAACGCATTCCTTTGGCCGATCTTTGCCAATTCAGGAAAGTTGTGGAAATGGCAAGGCTGTGTTCTGCGAGACTAAGACCCGCTGCAAAGCATATTTCTTTTTCTGATGGCTCTCGCATATTCAGGGACGGGATGCCGGAATTTATCTAGCAGCATATGGCACAGCTGTGAGCTTCCGGAAGGGTCATCGCGAAACCCGCTCTCAGGCACCATGGAGGAAGCAGCAAAGCGACGTTGGTATTGGCCGTTTGGTCAAAACAAGTATCGTCAGATGCAACGTGGCAGCAATCCAGACGAGATTGAATTAGACAGCTTTCGGTTACGTGAGCAAGCCTCCGAAGAGTCATCTGTGGCATCGAAACTAGCCCCCTGTCTACCCCGGAATCTTCAAAATCGAATCAAGCAAGGCCAAGAAAACCAACAAGAGTGGATCACAGGTGTCGTTCTTTGCGCTTTCGGTACCTTCATCATCTTATCTCTGAATATCATCCTCACAATCATTGCTGCCGCCATATTCTATTCAAAACCCCAGGAACAAGAATCCATTGCCGCCCTTCTCTACCAAGGAAAATGCTCCGTTTCGAAGAACTGGGCTCGTGGCCTGCATTTTTTGATAAACGTACTCAGCACCCTCATGTTGGCAGCAAGCAACTTTTGCATGCAATGCCTGAGTTCCCCGTCTCGGGATGAAGTCAATATTGCGCATGCTCAAGGAAAATGGCTTGACGTGGGTGTACCCAGTTTGAAGAACCTCACATCCATTGGTGTGAAACAGCGTATGCTTTGGCTTGCACTACTTGTCACTTCTTTGCCCATTCATCTACTGTTAGATTCATATTTTCTTCTTAGTCCAACAATGACTTGGTTCTAACATTGCAAAACAGATACAACTCTGCTATATTCTCTTCACTAGCAACAAATGAGTATGGCGTTATCCTCATGTCAAGCGACCTCGATTACAATAAAGATCCGGATCATTCAAATTGCTTTGAGCAACATATTAATATGAACGAGTCAACGTTTGGCTCTAAGTTCCGCAATTTTCAAAATCTTGCCAAGGAGAAATGCATTGAGACCTACGCAGCAGACTTTGTCACGGATCGAAGGACTTTGATCCTTATCAGCAAGGATCTCACAGCTAATGATTCGCTGCTATTTGTAGGAACAGGACAACAGCCAGCGTCTTATTTTGACACCGTGCCCGATCCTTATGGTTGGATGTGTGATGAAGTATCATGTACAGCAGAAAATCCACAAGATCTCGTCAACAGATCATTCAAGGAAGCAGCTGTTTGGGCTGCACCAGCATTATCGGCAACATTTTATCTGAATGCATCGTATACAGTGAACATCACGCAAAGGTATGATACTGGCAATAATCTACGGTTGCTAGAAGGTGATTTAGACCGAGATGTTAAGCACCTCCAAGATTTTATGGCCTCGTATCCTGAGGAGCAACAGCTGAAGCAGTATCTTAATGATGCCACTCATTGGCGGAATAGTTCTTGGGCCAAGCAGATCACGGTTCAGGAAAATGGATACGCCTGTCCGCCTATAACCAAGGAAGCTTATGGACTTTATTTACACCCTTCTAACCCTTTTAAGGAATATCGCTCCTTAGCTGAAGAACGTCCCATTACGTTTGACTACTGTTTAAGTGAAAGAGTCGATGAGAAATGCCAGCTTTACTTCAGTCCTCCCATTTGCCTCGTTGTCATACTCTGCAACGTTGTCAAGGTGATATGCATGTTCTTGACGATTCATGGCAATAGGAAAAGGATATTTTTGACTGTTGGAGATGCTATATCTTCATTTCTCTCCAGGCCTGATGTTACGACTCAAGGAGAATGTCTTTTGTCGGTCTCGGAAATTAACTCTCGACACTCATCCAAGATTTTCTCTTCTCAAAAGAACGGCACGACTCTCCTCCCCAAAAGAAAACGATGGGCGCAAGCTGTTAACCCCATATATTGGATGATGATGATTGCCTTGTATGTATACCCGGCAATCTAAAATACTATATTCCCAGAAGCGTTCTGACCCCCCTACAGGAGTGTGTCAGTTATTTCAGTGTCTAGCTATCTCCTTTCTTTAGCTTTCAGCAGCTTTTCGATAAAAGAGTATCAACGCTCGATCAAATATCTCTGGAGCTTGGGCTTTGGGTCTGCCACAACGCGCACCACGATTTACCAATTTTTGAACTCGAGCTATGTCCTATTGGTTTTCCTTGCAAACACCCCTCAATTGATTGTTTCTGTGGTCTACTTTCTCTACAACAATGTCTTGACCAAAATGCTTCTTGCCCATGAATACGATAGTTACGGCTTACAACGGAAGCCTTTGCGCGTTTCATGGCCAAAGGAGAAGCAGCGTTCGACTTACTACCTCAGTCTCCCGTATCGATACAGCGTCCCACTTCTGGTCACCTCTGCAGTCTTGCATTGGCTGGTCTCCCAGAGCTTCTTTTTTGTGGCCATTATTCCATTCAACATTCGTGAAAAGACGGAAGGTAATTATCAGGCTTTCTCGTGTGGATACTCGCCAATGGCTATCATTCTCGCCATCTCTGTCGGCGGTCTGATGATTCTTGCAATATTATGTTTGGGAATAAGGCGTTTTAAATCCGATATACCCATTGCTGGAAGCTGTAGCGCCGCAATCAGCGCCGCATGCCACCCTCTCGCTGGCAAAGGACACGAACTCAAACCCGTCCAATGGGGCGAGATTCAAACACCATCCGAACACGACACCATCTCAACTCAAGCAACCAAACAAGCCTCATCACGAACTAAATCTATCCTGCAAGTCAGCAGCTTCGAGACCGAGGAAGATTCCAGTATTAAACGCCCTATTGCATCCCGATCTGTATCCAGTCTGCAGTCAATAGGTCTCGATGCGGGGGAGGAATCGAGTAAGCAACTGGGGGGAAGCCGTGTCCACCTATTGGATCCGGTGGGGCAAGGATCCTATGGGGTTGGGGAAAGTCATGGCCATTGCAGCTTTACGTCCGATGAGGTTAATACTCCTCGTCCTGGGCGGTTATATGCCTGAGTCGGTTTGTCGTTATATCTACACTGGATAGGCTCGAGTTTTTTTTATTTTATTTGTTTATCAATATCGATTCGGTTCAAACCTTGGATCCAATAAATCAAGAGTGCAGATGTAATGCGGACAGTTATTGTGCAACTATACCAATAGTCACCGTTGGGATATATATATCCTCCACCTGACCATATCACATGACTCGTAACCACGCACGTGGAAATGAATTAAGTTGGATCTATGATCTTCAACAGAGATAGTAAGCTTGATAAATATTTTAAATTAAAAGTTGGATCCGATGACCAGTTTTCATGCAGATGCGTATGTTCTGGTTGGTTTTCAGACAAGGTATGGTTTAGTATACGGCGATATCCATTGATTAACGACGCATTGGAGAATGTAGACTTGATTATCGATTCAAGAGTATCTAACTATATTCATAAGCTCGTGTGATTTGTACACATTGAACCTCCTATGCTATGATCACCACCTTCCGGATACATGCCATAGGATAATTCATTGTAACCAAATGCAAATGATCCCCCGACGGACGTCAATCCATGACTCTCATCAGTCAGAGTTTGGTCGAGTGATCCAGGTGCTGATGACAAGCAGATATCCATGCCAAAATCTGAACAGCATCGTCATGGTTGGTCTGCTGCACACTGTCATTCGACGGTCATGGCTAGAGCATTTGGACCAGGGCAATTCCAGATTGGTGTCCTCCTGAGTGGATGCAGAAGCACAGAAGTGGCAATGAGTGCGCGACCCAAAGTGGCTATGTTCTGCACTTAGTTCAGGCACACGCGCGATTCGCATCTTGCGGCTTCTGTATGACTTAACGATGTAACTCCATAGCCTGTCGATCAACTATCTGGCAGTTTTGTCGTCCGCGGCACCATCCCCTGCGCCATCCAATCGCACTTTCTTTGCTCTGCGCTTCTGCTCCCGTTTTGACAACGACTTCTCGGCCTCTTCGGGTGTTGGCTCCGCTTTCCTCTTCAGAGTGTCCGCATTTGCTTCTGTTTGAGGTGTAGCCTTTTTAGCCGCTCCCTTCTTCTTTGGTTGTGCGTCTTCGACCTTCGGTTTCTCCCCGCCGTAGACGACATCGATAGCCCCACGCCAGCTGGTCCGCTTAAGCTTCGCCAGAGCAGTCACCTTCCTTGTTTCTTCGCAGATTGCCTCCTTGCCGCGTTCCTGTGACAAACCCCAGATGCATGCCAGATTGATCACATCCCAAGGCGCGCGCACCCCCAATGCCCTCCTAGCCTCACTTGATATGATAATACCCCTCCCGCGCGTGGCCCGAATAAGCGACATAGCATTCCCGATGAGGTTCCGTCGCGCGTCAAGTCCGCTTCCCGTGATGCCGGATCCGTAGCAAATCTCAAACCGAATACCGCGCTCAATGGCAGCAGAGAGCATCTTGAATTTTAAATGGAATGGGATTCGCTCGGAGAAGTCAAGGGAGATCAGATCGCATTCCAAGTTGGTACAAGCGTTCAGTAGTGACTTCTCGTTCGTGGGACGTAGCGCGACCAGGTCATATGCTTGTGTCAGGCTGGTAAGGCGCTGGTTTTGTGAGGGATCGGAGAGGATGAGATTCAGACGAGTGAGTAGGTCTAGGGATTTCGGAGCATTTGCAGGCGCGGCTGGGGGTGCTAGGTTTGGAGGGAGTTTTCCACTGATCGTCTGAGAGAGCGCAACGGTTGTGTAACCGACTAAGAGCAGTCAGGTCAGCTTCTCATGTGGTCTTTAAATGCCGAAGAATAGGCAGTGGAAACAGGCAAGTGACGTACTCTCCGCGAGGAAATTCAAGGTGTGAGAGATCTCAGGATCATCCGAGCTGTAGGGAACGTTGAGATCGTAGAACATTTTGGCTGTTTTAAATGGCTATGAGCCTCTCGATCTGACTTGGATGCGTAGCTCACAGCTATCCCAGAAAGGCAATCGAAAAATCGCGCCGGATCAATACATTTCCGAATCGCCGGAATCTCCCCACAACAAGCGGTCCCGTGACTGCCTGGGCGGAACGAACGAATGCCTGCAGTCTCGGTCATCACCAGAATTGCCAACTGTGTTTGTCTGTGTCTCCCCATCTTTTGCCTCTTTTTTTGCTCGCTTTGGGACGATAGCAACGGCTGCGCGGTTTGGACAAGGCAAGGCTCATTTGCTCTTGGTCTTGCAGCTGCTGTTATCTGTCCTCTGACCTCAATTTTTCCTCATCTCCTGTCGGCGCCCTCTCTTCTTGTTACGTGCGCTTTGTACCCCGCCACAGCTTCGTCTCCTGATATATCAATCGATTGTGGGCCGTTTCGGAAATCTGCTTGTGAGCAGCCGCCATTCACAATGGCGCGCGTTTATGCAGACGTCAATGAGCGTATGCCCCGGTCCTACTGGGATTATGACAGTGTGAACATTTCGTGGGGTGTGTTGGAAAACTACGAAGTGGTCCGCAAGATTGGTAAGCTTTTTCGTACTTTGCGCCTTGTTTTACATCGAAGAATAGCTGGAACGCAGAATACAGTCGGCTTGCAATGCGAAACGAATGCTAATGGCGTCGATTGATAGGCCGGGGAAAATATTCCGAAGTGTTCGAGGGCATCAATGTCGTCAACTACCAGAAGTGTGTCATCAAGGTCCTCAAGCCGGTCAAGAAGAAGAAGATTAAGCGTGAGATCAAGATTCTTCAGAACCTGGCGGGTGGTCCCAACGTGGTAGCCCTGCTTGATGTCGTTCGCGATAGCCAGAGCAAAACACCGAGCTTGGTTTTTGAATACGTGAACAACACGGACTTCCGCACGCTGTATCCCCGGTTCACCGACTACGACGTCCGCTTCTATGTTCACGAACTCTTGAAGGCGCTGGACTTCTGTCACAGCAAGGGAATCATGCACCGTGATGTTAAGCCACACAATGTTATGATTGACCACGACAAGAAGAAGGTTTGTTTGGGCCCCAGGTGTCTTGTGATTGCGTGCGCTAACATTTTCTTAGCTGCGTCTGATCGATTGGGGTCTTGCCGAATTCTACCACAAGGGCACAGAGTACAACGTTCGGGTTGCGTCGCGATACTTTAAGGGTCCGGAGCTGCTCGTCGACTTCCAGGAATACGACTACTCACTCGACATGTGGTCGTTGGGCGCCATGTTTGCGTCCATGATCTTCCGCAAGGAACCGTTCTTCCACGGAAACAGCAACTCCGACCAATTGGTTAAGATCGCCAAGGTTCTAGGAACGGAGGAGCTCTTCGAATACTTGGACAAGTATGACATCGAATTGGATCCACAGTATGACGAGATCCTCACACGGTTCCCCCGGAAGCCGTGGCGCTCATTCGTCAATGCTGAGAATCAACGATTCGTCAGCGATGAAGCAATTGATTTCCTGGACAAACTTTTACGATACGACCATGCTGTATGTCTTTCGTTCCTTGGTTATTCCGTCGTTCGCTTGTGCTAACCATTTTTAGGAACGACTTACTGCCCAGGAGGCCATGGCCCACCCATACTTTGCGCCTGTTCGCGCAGCAGAGCAGTCTGGGCGGAACAACACAACATCCTAAAGAAATAAAGCTGGACACTACGACTCGAATTTTCTTACTATATCAACCATGCAATCGCTCCGGTTCTTGTCTCAGCGGCCGCTGTAGTCAGTGGCAGATAATAACGTTCTGATTATGGCCAGTTTGCTCAAATGCTTTTCGAGTTGGTTCTCTTGAAATGGATGGATAGAGGTGGATAGAAGGAGGAGGGAGATTCAGACGACAGAGGGGAGTGGCGTACGGTCCAGCGTCGTGCTGGACGTGAACTGAACTGCAGTGAAAGTGGTGAGGCAAGGAATTCGGAGCGAAGACGACGCTGATGACAGATGATATACACCTAATCTGTTGGGTATTTGGCCCATATCTCACCTCAATCCTCTTTGGCGTATTCAGCGAGTGAAATCTATCTAACTATCTGACGATGTCTTCGGAGTGGGATGAACATTTTGTTTCTTGTTCTGCTCTATGTAACCACCTACATGCAAATATGGCAACTACACCTCATTTCTTTGGTTTTGACACTTTCAATTTCTCGTAATTTCTGGATGGTGTTTTGGCAATCTTTACAATTTCTTTGCTCGTTCTGCAAGGCTTTATGGGAGTGAGGTAGAATCAATGCAATTGTTCGAGTCGTCTTCTATACTTGTAGCATACTCGATGCGTCAACATCACGTGACCTGACTCATTCTTTTCTCTGGTCCACGCCTAAAAAAGACATGAAGAAGAAGCCAAAGAAAACGACGCTCAATTGCGATCAATTCCACCACTGTTACATAGTAAAACCGCTCCATGGGCTCTTCTTGAACCCCACCAGGGCCCCCTCCGATTCGTCCCAGACTTCCGCTGCAAAAAAAAAAAAAAAAAAAAAAAAGCGCCCGCACAACCAGAACCCCTCCACCCCTCCGAGTGCTGTTTGGTGTCTCCGGTGTCCAAGATACTTATCCGGCAGTTAGTGGCGCGAGCGGCGCCTAGGAGATTCACTCCTCCAACGTTATTATATCGTCCATTTTCCAGAATGTCTGCTCCCAATCCGGGTGAGTGCTTATCGGGCCCGGTTTAGCGGGTGACTCATGTCTGCTATTGAGAATTGCAAGTTGCTAACAGTCTTGTGTTGCTTGCAGTTGGTGAGCCACCGGCTCCCATGAAGGACCTCGCTCCTCAAGCTGAAGAACAGACCAGAAACCAGAACCTCAGTGATGCGACAAAGGACCCCCAGGCCGCACAGGAGGCCGCCGCAGCTCCGAAAGTGAAGAGCGAGAAGGAGTGTTTGTACTCGGATACCTGGAATTGTTGGCTATCATGGACATCCGTTGACGGTTGTGATTTGATATAGTGGAACGTGACCGCAAGAAGGCCGAAAAGGCGAAGAAATTCGCAGAGAAGCAGGCCAAGGCTGCCTCCGCCAAACCCGCTGCCCCCAAGGCCGAGAAAAAGGCCCCGAAGCCCGAGAAGGACAAGACGACCGATGCCTACGACCCCGGTGCTATCGAGTCCGGCCGGTATGAATGGTGGGAGAACCGTGATCTCTTCAAGCCCGAGTTCGGTGCCGACGGCAGAGTCTTGCCGGCTGGTAACTTCGTCATTCCTATTCCTCCTCCCAACGTTACCGGTTCTCTGCACATGGGCCATGCCCTTACGAACGCTTTGCAGGATACTATGATCCGTTGGCAGCGGATGAAAGGTAAGACGACCCTGTGGCTGCCGGGTATGGACCATGCTGGTATCTCGACCCAGAGTGTTGTCGAGAAGATGTTGTGGAAGAAGGAACAGAAGACCCGCCACGACCTGGGCCGCGAGGAGTTCACAAAGCGCGTCTGGGAGTGGAAGCACGAGTACCACGCGAACATCAAGAATGCCCTGCGCAGAGTCGGTGGTTCCTTCGACTGGAGTCGTGAGGCCTTCACCATGGACGACAACCTGTCCGCAGCTGTTACCGAGACCTTCGTTCGCCTTCACGAAGAAGGTATCATTTACCGTGCCAACCGTCTGGTCAACTGGTGTGTTTCTTTGAACACCTCATTGTCCAACCTAGAAGTTGAGAACAAGGAGGTCGAGGGCCGTACACTCCTTGATGTTCCCGGCTACGAGAGAAAGGTCGAGTTCGGTGTCTTGACTCACTTCTGCTACGAGATTGATGGCACCAAGGAGAGAATCGAGATTGCTACCACTCGTCCTGAGACCATGATTGGTGACACTGGTATTGCTGTCCACCCCACCGACAAGCGCTACCAGCACTTGATTGGCAAGCACGCTCGTCACCCCTTCGTCGACCGTCTCCTCCCCATTGTTGCCGACCAGGATGTCGACCCCGAGTTCGGTACTGGTGCCGTGAAGATTACCCCCGCCCACGACTTCAACGATTTCAACCGCGGAAAGGCCCACAACCTTGAGTTCATCTCCGTCATGAACGACGACGGTACCTACAACAAGAAGGCTGGCATCTTCGCCGGTGTGAAGCGGTTCGACGCCCGTTACAAGGTCATCGACCTCCTGAAGGAGCAGGGCTTGTACGTCAAGTGGGAGCACAACCCTATGAAGATCCCCCGCTGTGCCAAGTCAAACGATGTTATCGAGCCTATCTTGAAGCCCCAGTGGTGGATGAGGATGCAGGGCCTTGCTGAGCCCGCCATCAAGGCCGTCGAGGATGGTGACATTATCATCCGTCCCGAGACTGCTGAGAAGAGCTACTTCCGCTGGATGAGAAACATCAACGACTGGTGTCTGTCGCGGCAGCTCTGGTGGGGTCACCAGGCTCCTGCTTACCTTGTCCAGATCGAGGGACAGGATGTTGATGACAGCGATGGTGACTACTGGGTTACTGGCCGCTCTGAAGAAGAGGCTAAGCAGAAGGCCGCTGCCAAGTTCCCCGGAAAGAAGTTCACCTTGGCTCGCGATCCTGACGTTCTTGACACCTGGTTCTCGTCTGGCTTGTGGCCTTTCTCTACTCTTGGCTGGCCTAAGCAGACTCACGACTTGGAGACCCTGTACCCTACCTCCGTTCTGGAGACTGGCTGGGATATCCTCTTCTTCTGGGTTGCCAGAATGATCATGCTTGGTATTAAGATGACTGGCAAGGTTCCCTTTAAGGAAGTGTACTGTCACTCCCTGATCAGAGATTCCGAGGGTCGTAAGATGTCCAAGTCTCTTGGTAACGTCGTTGACCCTCTTGATGTTATGGAGGGTATCCAGCTCGAGAAGCTCCACTCCAAGCTTCTCGCTGGTAACCTTGCCGATAAGGAGGTTGCCACTGCTACCAAGTACCAGAAGAAGGCATTCCCCAAGGGTATTCCTGAGTGCGGTGCTGATGCTCTGCGCTTTGCTCTCGTTTCTTACACTACTGGTGGTGGTGACATTGCGTTCGACATTCAGGTCATCCACGGATACCGTCGTTTCTGTAACAAGATCTACCAGGCCACTAAGTATGTGCTTGGCAAGTTGGGCGAGGACTTCAGACCTCAGCCCACTCCCGCAAAGACTGGCAGGGAATCTCTGGCAGAGCGCTGGATCTTGCACAAGTTCAACACCGCCGCCAAGGAGGTGGACCGGGCTCTGGAGCAGCGTGAGTTCAACATCGCCGCCACTACTGTCTACCAGTACTGGTACAGCCAACTCTGCGACGTCTTCCTCGAGAACTCCAAGTCCCTCCTGGCTCCTGAACTTCCCGCTGAGGTGCAGCAATCCGCCAAGGAGACCCTCTACACCGCTCTCGAGGGTGCCCTGACCATGATCCACCCTATCATGCCCTTCGTCACCGAGAACCTCTGGCAGCGTCTCCCCCGCCGCCCCGAAGACAACACCGTCTCGATCATGAAGGCCCGCTTCCCCGAGTACAGGCCCGAGTTCGACGACCCGGCCGCCGCCGCCGCCTACGAGCTCATCCTCAACACCTCCAAGGCCATCCGCTCCATCCTCGCCCAGTATGAAGTCAAGACCAAGGGCGACATCATCGTCCAGACCTACGACGCCACCAGCTATAAGACCATCTCCGACGAACTCTCCATCGTCAAGTCTCTTGGTGGCAAGAACCTGGGTGAACTCAGCGTCCACGGTCCTGAGGAGACCAACCGTCCCAACGGCTGCGTTGTCTTTGCCGTCGGTGCTGAAGCTGCCGTCTACCTCCGCGTCTCCAAGGAAGTCGCTCTCGAGCAGGAGGAGAAGGCCAAGGCTAGCCTGGAGAAGTCGCGTGATTCCGTGCGCCGCCAGCAGACCCTTGTCACCGGTGCTGGGTGGAAGGAGAAGGCTAAGCCTGAGGTGCGGGAGGCTGAGGAGAAGAAGTTGAAGGATGCGGAGAGTGAGTCTGCGCGGTTGGAGGAGCAGATTAAGGAGTTTGAGAGATTGCGCTTGGAATAAAATTGCTGGACAGTCTTGTAACGTTTGTTGATTAGGTTTATGAATCTCAGTTCAATTACTGTATATGCATATCGCTTGGTACAATGCCGTAGGAGCTCAGCAGCTTTGGTTCTATCTATCTGCTTTTCATAACCCATTACTCTCCGTAGAGATTCCTTAGCCCATGCATTGTGTGCCTTGTACATGATATCACGTGATATTTCTCTTTTTTTTTTTTTTTTTTTTTATGCCATTGTGTTGAACTACGCTTAACCAGTCCATCTTTTGCACCTTTCTTCATTTTTCAATAATTTTCTTCTTTTTTCGCGGACTTGTTTCTATCTGGACCTAACTCTTGTTTTTGTCCCTTGTGATTGGTTGGTAGAGGCTAGACTTAAGCTTATCGATAAGAGTGCCAAGACCGACCTCCAAAACTTTTCGCTCCGCCTTTTTTTTTATCCAAAGTCAACGTCTGCGACGAGAAAAACCAACATCTCCCACAGAAAAAATGGCATCGATGTTGAGAGAAGTGTATGTCAATCGCAACTATCGCCCAGTCCAAAAAGAATAATACTAACTAAAATAGCAAACCCAAAAACCCGCGCACAGCGCGCCTCCTCAAAGCCAAGGAGCCCCAACTCGTCGAAGGCCCCAAACGCACCCTCCTCCTCCACGGCTCAAAATGCCCAACCGCCGTGCACACCATCCTCAAGACTTTCCACTCCCTCACAAAACCGGACTCTGTCCTCTTCCACAAGAAGAATGAACACATCCGCCCGTTCGAAACCACCGAGAGCCTCGAGTTCCTGGCCAACAAGAACGAGGCCGGAATGGTCGTGTTCGGAAACAGCAGCAAGAAGCGGCCCAACTGCATCACGCTCATGCGCGTGTTCGACTCGAAGACGCTCGATATGTGCGAGATGATGCTTCTCCCGGGTCAGAGTGCTGAGGATGCGGTTCCTGCAATGAATAATCTCACGATGCATATTGGGGTTGGGTTACGGCCGATGCTGATTTTTGCGGGGAGTCCATGGGATGATGAGACTTCGACGGCGCATGTTATGCTCAAGAGCATGTTTACTGATATGTTCAAGGGCGAGGAGGGGGATAAGATTGATGTTGAGGGGTTGCAGTATGCGCTTATGGTTAGTGCTGAGGAGCCTGCGCAGGGTCTTGCCCCTGTGATTCACCTGCGGTGGTATAAGTTGCGGACTAAGCGGAGTGGTCACAAGCTTCCTCGCGTTGAGTTGGATGAGATAGGTCCTAAGTTGGACTTTAAGATTGGTCGTTTGCAGGAGGCGCCGCGGGATGTTATGAAGGCGGCTATGAAGCAGGGCAAGAGGCCGAACGAGGAGGTTAGGTTGAAGAAGAACATTGGTATGGATGCTATTGGTGACAAGATTGGTCGTGTGCACTTGGCCAAGCAGGATCTGGGTGGCTTGCAGACTAGGAAGATGAAGGGATTGAAGCGTCGTGCTGGTGTTGAGTCGGATGAGGAGGACCAGGATATGATGGATGTTGACGACGAGGTTTCGGAGGACGAGGGTCGCAAGAGGACACGGACGGAATAAGGATATAACATCTGTGATTAATCATGCATTTCTTCTGTTTCGCACTTGGCGTTTCCGGTTGGATTGGTGATTTTTGACTTGCGCGAGCAAGTTTGTTTGAATAAGCTGTCTGTTTTTGCACAGATAAAAGTCTGCATTTATTGACCTTGAAATTTCTGGTTTTGAACCCTATCTACATTACAGATTATTATGGATTCTTTATTTCCGGATGAGAATCATGCCCTCGCTGCTTGTTGACCGACAGGGCCTAACGGGGGTGCAAGTAACGATTGGAAACCGGGTAACCGGGTGTGAACTATATTCCCCCAAGACGGAGGTTGTGCAGCTGGCGCATTCCCGTTCTCAACACCATTATTAGGAGAAGCGTCTCCTTCAACATCACTCTCATCTGACGACTCATCCCCAACCACTACCTCTTGTTCCACCTCGACCACGACCCCCTCAGCACCACCCACCTGACTCCTCGGCTTCCGCTTCATCCTCTGCCCTTCCGTAACCCTCCTCCTCACCGGCGTAGAACTCTTTAACCAAGCATACACCGTCCCCCACCCCGCCGTCATCGCCTCCTTCGTAACCGGATCCCGCAACAACCGTTCCCAGTCCCCAGGCGATATATCAGGTAGATTCCTTTTTCCGTAGATGTGTGGCCGCGGCCGATGATGCTGCGCTGGTAGCCCATTTCGTGGAGACGGGAGAAGTTCGATTTGCTGTATTTGGTGTTGTGGGTGGTTATGAGGTGGTTTTGGATGTCTGGGAGGGAGACGATGGGGTGCGTTTCGACGTAGGTGCGGAGGTTCTGGGGTTATTAGTATTCTGACCGTTTTGTATTGAGCAAGCTTGTTTGTTTTTTTTTTTTTTTTTTTTTTGGTTTGCGATTCGCATTCAGGATTGACTCCTCTCCTCCCATCAGCCACAACGATATGAAAGCAAGACTACATACTTCCAGAAATTGATCATTAAATGAGCGCGGTCGCCCCATTGGTCTGGGCGGTTCTGTTCGAGGCGGCGTTGAAGTCCCGTATGTACTCAGGCTATGCGCCATGCGTCGCAGAGTTCCATGTGAGACTCCGTGGACCTGACATATCTGGGGGTATGGTTCGCGGCGGAAGAGAGCCGCTGTTATCTGTCGTCTTTAGTCTTCTGTTAAGCGAGCACCGGGCATTTTGTCTGTTTATCGTGCCTTGTCAAGCAGGGAAGATGGGAAGAGAATGTGTGTTTGTGCTACGCGACATGTTGACGGGAGTTGATCTATCATCCGCAGATCGGCAGCTGAGGTTCTTGGCATTGAGTGTTGTAGCAATGCAGTATCCCACGAAGTATTCATTTGTGCTTCTAGTTATCTGTTATATTCCCTGTAAGTCAATCATCCCCGAAAGAATTCAAGTAATCCCCGAAGAATGCTCACCAGACCATATGTCACGTGACAATGACGTCGCGCTCGGCACGCTTCACATGCCGAGGCAACTTTTCCACGACGCCGAACAAAAGTGGCCGCTCTGTTCTCTCCTCCATCTTATCGCTAACAAGAGGGGACGCAGTTTGACGCCTGAAGAGTTGAAAGTCACGATCGCTAGACTTGCTCTAATCCCATGGTTCTCTTGCGATCTATCCCGATACAGATAAATCAAGCGGCAACGGCCTGCCTTTCGTTTTCATAATGAGCCGAGGTCCCGATATTATGGAGGCGCTGGTGGTAAGGATACTCTATTGCTGGGTGAGGATATACTTGGGATGTGGTGGCTGATCTGTGTATAGTCTCGTCTGGATGCTATCGTCTTGGATCGTGACCTTGCACCTTTGCTGTCTTTGCTCAAGGGTGTTCGGAATGGTGTCGTTTACGGGTCGAAAGTGCGGTTTCCGCACGCTTTGGTGTATGTGAAGCCCTTCCTGGACGGTTTATTCTGGATAACACTGACGATGTTTTTTTTTTTTTTTTTTTTTTTTTTTCTCTGCAGGATGATATTCCTTTTCCGCTCCGGAACGTAAGACAGCCTCCCGTCGACTCGGTTATCCCTATACTGATCCATCCACAGCCTCCGCGAAAAGGCCAAGCTCGTCCTGAAAGCCACGCAAACGCACGCCCGTAACCTCGCAACGTTCGCTCTCATATACAAGAGCTCCATGCTCGCGCTGCGAAACCTAAACACGTCCAGCGCCGGGAAGGAGAACCGCTACGATAGCTTCTTCGCAGGATTACTGGGAGGATACGCTGTTTTTGGCCGGAACCAGACAAGCGTCACCCAGCAGGTATTTCACCCATCCCGTATAACATAAATCAGAAAAAAAAAAAAAAAAAAGCTAACGACGGCAGATCGTCATCTACGTCTTCGCCCGCGTGGCCCTCTCCCTCGCCAAACTCTCCGTCGAACCTAACATGCACCCGCTCTCACACCTCATCACCCCCGAAGCTCGTTCCCAGATCAAAGACAATGCATGGCCGGTCTTTGCAAGTCTCAGCTGGGCTTCTGTCATGTACATCTTCCGCTGGTACCCGGAGACGCTGGTTTCGAGTTTGAGGAGCAGTATGGTTTATATGTATGTCTTCTTTCCTTGGTTACTGTTATTGAGTGTCGTGTTTGTACTGACCTGTGGCAGCTACGCGGACTCGGACCACTGGAACTCGTTCCGGAACTTCTTAATACACAATAAATAGATTGGTGATAGGTTGGCTGTTTTGGCGTATGGATTGGTCATCATTGTTAATCCTTGTTCATTCTTAATGTATATAGCGTACCTCGGCCGACTGGGCTGTGTTGATGGTCATTAATCTTATTGTTAGTATTCATTGTGTTGTCGAGTGTGGTTCGATATCTTTACATGAGCTTGGTATATCATTTGGAATTGACAACGTTAGCCTGATCATCCCGATTGTAGAAGATTCGCCCTGGATAACACGCTCAGCCCACGCCCGTATCAGCGTGAATCCCGGTAGTGGTTATTCCCAGGACTCGCATTGAACATTACCACAAGTCATGTATACAAAGTATAGCAAACGCCAGATATTAATCCCACACCCCTTGGTTACTATAACGCATTATGATCTGCGTTCCGAGAGTCTGTACGGTATATCCCTGGAATTGCACGGAACCACCACATGGGCGCAGTGATGCAGCAGGCTGCGTGGTCTTTCCCCGGTAGCCAGTAACCAATAAACGCGCTACCATATACCTGTACAGCAGTTCACAACCACATGTCTTTCCAGGTTGCCGATTGGACCGAGTGGTAGTACAAAGTCATATCAGGAAGGCCGGGAAGCAGATCCGGCAATCACACTTCTGCAGACAAAAAGTACCTGACGAGAAACCATCATTGGACGAAAGGTTATGTATGCAAGGAAAACAAACGCCAGTTCCATGGATAAAAATAACAGAATAACAACACAAGCCATTGAACAACGACACGAAAGGGATAACCACATAACGCAAGGATGAACATTCGAAACCTTCCCCAACTTTTCTAAAACTGGAATAAAAGCCAATAGACATGGATATGCAATATGATTTCGGAGTGATACGAATATGTATGGATTCGACCGTAGAAGACTGTGGGGCCACCAGCATAGGATCCACCCTATCATGGTTTAGTGTCCGTCGCGGGCCGTAGAGTGGAACGGGATCTGACATAGTTACCCCGTACATATGCTCCGTGAACCATCATTTGCCAATACGATGTACATAACCGAATCACTATCAATGGGAAACCGAGCACTCTGTCGTGGACGACGGGAGAAAGCGGCAAGGCGAAAGTAGCGTAACGGCTTCTTGACGAGCACTAATAGACATGAAAAAGTAATAGAAGTAAGTCAGAAGAAATCAGGGATAAAGCTCGTCATACCTCTATTCGATTTTCAACTCCGGGTCCATTGGATATCTTGATTCGACGAAGTGTAAGAGGCGTTGCGTGTTCGGGCCAATCCAGCCACCCGCTCCAGCGACGTCTTCTTCCGACCGCTGAATGCCAACGTAGACCATATTGCCTTGTCTATTATTTGATCAAGTTAGAATGCACGTTCAGAACGGAGGATATAGATGCGAATTAAAGTGAGAAAATTACCCTTTATCCAACGAATCCTAGTAACCAGTAGCCGGCACAGCATATCCATCAGAGGGAGGGGAGCTCTGGCTGCCATACGATGTGCTGGGTGGCTGTTGGTTGGGGTTCGAGTTGTTCAGGTAAGAGCTTGGGTCTGAGGAAGAGAGTTGCGAGTTAGTTGGGTCGATGTTCGAGCTTCCGTCGAAGAAGAGCGGCTGGTTGATTTGGGGCATGTTCGCGCTCTGGTCGAAAGAGAGTGGTTGATTGAACTGGCTCATGTTCATGTTCGGGTCGAAGGGAGTCGGTTGGTGGCGCTTTGGCTGGTGCATGTTCGAGACCGAGTCGGAGGAAAGTGGCCGAGAGCGTTTGGTGGCTTGGTTCGTGCCTTCCATGACTGAACGTGGCGGTGAGTAGTGATCGGAGCAGATGGTGTAAGTGTATGACTATACTTAAAATGGATGGATGGATAGAAGATTCAGATGAAAGAGTGAAACGAGTAAATGGGAGTTGAGAGATGAAAGGTTCTGGGGGAGTCCCGCGCGAAGCTGTCAGGTACGATCTGGGCCGCGGTCAAATCAGTGCTTGTCGCCGCTCTTTCCTGCGCGCAGTCTAATCACGTACAATTTATATATGCAGAGAATGAGCCCAAGCAGAGCATTATTTGATAAATCAGTATATGATATTCAGATGAAACCAGATTTGCTTGACACTCCGGCCGAACATAATCCCCCTGACGGGTGCTCCCGAACCTTATCCCATGGTACATTCTTCGGGGCCACAACACGATTGAGACATCTAGTCCAAAATAAGTTCTCCGGAGGGTGCTTCTAGGGCTGGGGTCGATTCGGCCCAAGAGCCAATCCCGGAAAGATCTTCGGCTTGGCTGGAATTGGATGGAGTGCGTTGTCTATTAATTATTGAATAAATTAGACTCAAATAACAGTTAACGTAGAGGAGAAGGAAGTACTTACTTCTCAGGCAAAGGGTTCTTGTCATTTCCCAGGATATCTGATCCGCCTGACAAGTTGGAGGTGTGGCTATTCACTGACCCAGCCTGACAGCGACTAAAAATTGAATTGGTTGCATCCGAGTGCGAGGGTTGAGGTTGGTGTTCTTTGGCCTGAGTTGTGATTGCCATGGGCGCGGCGACGGGCTTAGGGTTGTAAACAAAAGATGAATTGCGAAATGGATAGTCTAAGAAGTCTGCGAGATAATGGAATATGAAGATAATGGAAGTAGAAAAATAATGGGCTGAGAAAAAATGCAAGAGCATCTGAAGAACTACCCTTCTATACAATTCCGACTTCTAGATGGGTGAATATAGGGACGATCGATGGGGCTATGACGTTGGGCTTGGCTCAATGATAGTAGCTATTCGTGTGCACAGATCGCGGTCTCACGATCTAGGCCATAACGTAGCCTAGGCCTCGAAATGGTGCGGTTCCGGTTCTAACATCTAGAACCTCGAATCGAACCTCGCGGTTCTGTCGCGGTTCGAATCTCCTAGAGCCGCAATTGCATAATTTTGCCAAGATTTTCCGTTTTTGGATGGATAAAATGATGATTCATCTTGGTTTTTTACGTTACTGTAATTTACCGCTGTTCTGGTCATTACATCCATGAACATCACAATGTAGCCATATCTCTTCTGAAATTATATGAGATTCGTCTGTATTTAGAAAATTTAGCATCGAAAACTGTAGAACGTCTCAGCGTTAGTGGATTTCAAGCTCTTGGTGATTAATTATGGTCGGAATGCTCGTTGATGCGGCATATGGTGTGGGAACTATATATATTTCACCTGAGTACTACACCATCATCCTATGCAGAGTACCTGCTGCAGTATGTCACCAACTCAGCATATCACCTGGGGAAGAGAGTCTGCCAGAACACACAAGGAAAATCATGCTGGTCACCAACGGTGGCTGAAGCAATATCCTCATACAAGACCCTGCTGCGAAGTGGAGCGTCTTGACACACAACTGGTTGAGGCACGCAGGGCCCGGAACTTCACTGTCAAACGAGCAAAGGTGGCTAGCTTTCGACACTTCATGCGACAAGCAGCAGGAGAACCAAAACTATTCTGGAAGATGGCCCAATGGGGCAAGAATTGCAGTCATTTGCCACTCCGTGCCCCTACAGTACCAAGTCTGCGCCCAGCCACACACATGGATGGCCTCGCAGTGTCTTTTGAAGACAAAGTGGAGTCATTCCACACACGTTTCTTTCCCTCCCCAGCAGAGACAGATCTATCAGATGCTCATGGTCCATATCCAACAGAGGCGGAGGCTGTGGAACCAGCCACAACAGAGGAAGTAGTGGCAGTTATAGCATGCTTGCCGACAGGGAAAGCACCAGGGGCCTCAGGGGTCCCAAATGAGTATCTGAAACTGTTAGGCCGACCCTTGGCAGCTGCACTGGCGGCACTCACACAAGGCTGCTGGGACTGGGAGTACTTCCCAAAGGTGTTTAAGACAGCCCGGACGGTAGTACTCAGAAAACCGGGTAAGACAGACTATCAGAATCCAGGGGCATGGCGTCCAATTGCACTCCTTGAGACACTGGGAAAGGTGGTAGAGGCTGTAGCAGCAGGCCGTGTACGGAGCATAGCAGAGCGTCATGGGTTGCTACCAGAACAACAGATCGCTCCACAGAGACAGCTGTCTCCCTCCTCCTTAGCCAGATCCGGATGATTGATTGTATATCAGGAGAAAAACAAACCACATGTGCAGTTCTTGAATTCTGAGCCAGCATAACTTCATTAGGGGTAAAGAAAAAAAAAAAAAAAAAAAAAAAGGGAATTCCTAGGATAGGAAAAAGGGGGCGGGCGGCTCGGGTCAGTCATTTTGGGCTAAAAGGTAAACCTTGAACGGCCTCCTTTACTCGTCATTCAGCGTGGACGAGGTTTTGCCTGAAAAAAAAAAAAAAAAAAAAAAAAAAGAAAAGAAAAGAAATAAAGGAAAGACAATATCTCTGGATGACATATGTTTAAAGATGCGCTGGCTGGTATCCAAGATATGAAAAAATTGCTGCCTTGAATAAGAAACAGCATACGACGAGCATTATTATTATTATAATTATTATTATTGTTCATACACGCATCTGTCAGCCCTGTAGGCCGAGTGGCGGCAGGTCCTGCGGGGCGGCCGGGTAAGCCGCCGTACTGGTAATCGCTATGTACATCGTCGCCTTTCTACACATATCCTGATATATTATTCTGCATGTTGTATGTCCTGTGCTGCTGATTTCATACTGTTGTTTCCGTGGCCACGAAGATCCATGGGCCTGTTGGATACTATCTCATTTCCGTCCCTACTTCTGCAAGCGTATAACCTTGGCTGCGCTATGCTGCCGGTTGCTTCATGTCTGCTGCTGTGATTTGGTATGTGGTTGGTAGAATCTGAAACTGGCTTAGAAGGCCTGTCTCAAGCATGAATCGCACTGCCTTTGGTACCAAGTCTGGCCGTGTTAGGTAGGCCCGGTGATCTAGCTCCCGCCTTGACCCCTGTGTAAGATGGTGCATCCAGGGTCCTGCCTGGTTTGTACAGTGGAGGAGAATATGGCGTATGCCTTGGAGGCCACGTCCGCAAGAGCATTCAGTCGATTCCGTAGCCTTAAAAGTGCTAAGATAACTACCCAGCACAATCTTCCCAGTCTACATTTGAATAAGGACTAATGTAGCGGCTCTTTGTAGGCCTTGGTATAGTTGCATTGGTGCTTTTGAAGGCTTTTTCCATAAACGACGGAGGGAGCTCCTGTGGGTGGAAGCGGCCCATTCAGTCTTCCATGCACTGGCTGCTTCTATGTGGAGGGTTCTTCAAGTGCTGGCTGTGAGAGTTAGCTCCTCTGCAGCATTGGGTGCCGGAGAACTAGCAGCTTCTTTTGCAAGAGCATCAGCACACTCATTGCTGTAGATGCCTTCATGACCAGGGAGCCAGTGTAGCTGTATATTCCAGCCGAATTCCTGTAGCTGAGATGCAGTGTGTACAGTTTCACTCAGGATATATTGGCCAGAAGACCTTCCTGGGGTTGAGCACGCTTGTATTGCCGCCTGGTTGTCCGTAAAGATGATTGCCGTATAGGCCTGATAGGAGCGCCGGGATTCCAGTCCACCGGTGTTGCGTATTTGGGTGAGCGCCATCTCTATGCCTCGCAATTCTGCTGCATATACAGCGTGGGTAGCTGGGGAGCCAATGCAAACTACCTGGCGCCCTAGAGGCGAAACCACCGCTGCTCCAACTCCCTGTTCTGTCAAGCTGCCATCTGTGTACGCGACAATGTTGGCGCCGCTATGTAAGACGGCCTGGTGAGCTACTAGGGCAGCTTCCCGAGTTTCCGCTACATGGGATTCCAGACCTGACCACCATGGTGGGGTCACATGTGGGTGTATAACCTCCAGCCCATTCTGAGAGATCGCAATTCGCCGTCCCCATCATTCTAGTGGTGATGTCAGAGGGTCATTGTCAAACAAACGCCTATAAAATCTCTTCTTCCTCTAGATTAGATTTCCTTTTCTCATTTCCCCCCAGATTCGATATTCTCGTCGATGGCTACACTAGTTTAGATAGGAATATCAATTCGTTAATATCTACTGGTCCGAGCCCGTGACACTAGCGCCACAAAACAAGCTGGAGTTCTTTTCTACTAAGGACTGGGAGCCACATTGGCATGTATGATACAGAAAGAGCCTTGAGGAGTATCTTATTCCCTATCAGCAGCGCTATTCAGAGACACAGTCCATATCAAATGCCCGATCTTCAACAAGGGGGATCTCTGATGTTGATATTCTTGTGACATCAGCTGCATCTCTACGACCGCAAAAAACCACTCATGATGAGCTTTCACGGTATCTGGGAAGTAGTAAGCTATATCCCCTTACCTCTTACCTCTCTCTTACTGATCTCTATGGGTACTCAACTAGTGAACCTGCGGATCTACTGGAAGGATCATCTGCATGAATATCCCATCCTTGCAAGCCTAGCACGAGATGTTCTCACAATACCCGCTAGCAGTTCTGGTGTTGAGCGGTTATTCAACTCTGCTTGTGATATCTGTCACTATCGCCAAGGCTCACTGAAATCCAAAACAATCAAGGAGCTTATGTTGTTTATGTGTACAACCAAGTTCAACATGGAATCAGAACAGCTTTGTCCCATAGATGAGTATCTCACTACTCAAGAGACACAAGCAGCAATAGAGGAAAAGGATGCTTGGAAAGCAGAGAATGAGTTTAATCCAATCAGTGATGATGAGGATGAACCTTCAGTGGCCACATCTCAAATCGTCCAACTGGTTAGTGAACATGTGCTTGGGAAAAGACTGTCACGGGCCCGGAATAGTAGATATTAATGAATTGAATTCCTATCTAGACTATTGCAGCCATCGACGAGAATATCGAATCTGGGGAAGAAGAAGAAGAAAAAGAAAATCTATCTAGGCGATGAAAGGTCTTTATAGACATTTGTGTGGTGCGGCTTAAGCCCTTGTTTGCCCATATTGCTTGTATGCCGTCGTTTGACATGTTAGCGCTGTTTGTCTAGCGTTAAGCCGTCACAAAGACAAAGGGTTGAAGCTCCTACCGATAAGTATGGCCCTCTGGTTGAATTAGGCGAAGAGGATGAGATTCCCCTGCCTGATAATAGCCACATGCAGGCAGAGAGCAGTACTCAGAGGCGTTCATCAGGGCGACTTCCAAAGCGTTCAAGATGAGATCATGAGACGAGGACTTTGTGTATGAAAAGCCATAGAAGTTGAATGATAATTTGTTTTGATCGGACATTTCCATAATATTACTCCCATCTAAGCTTTTATCTGATATCTTAACCAACCTGTAAGCAAAATACCCAAAAAATACAGGCAGAATCTACATAAATTATGCATATCACGGGATTTCCTATGTTTGTACTGTTTGTGAAACCTCCAGTTCGAACCACATCGTGGTTCCAAGGTCGAGCACCAAGAACCGCACCTCTTACGGTGTGGTGCGGGTCGAACCGAATTGATACTAGCAGCCTGGGGCAGTTCCTTCACAAACGTGTACATGGAGATTTACCATGTGTACGTGGGGTATCTTCAAGTTGTATTTCTATTCAGACTGTATATTTAATTCAGACCACTGATTTATAATTCAATATAGGAACATTCAGATGTGACAAGTTTCGCTTAACATGAGTGTAGACAAGAACACGGATCTTCAAGAGTATTCCTTATTTAGGCTTAGCGCTACCGGAGTCGAAGAAGTATAGAAACGGGAATTTTATTCTAGAGATATATGATACAGAAAGATAGCAGAAGAAAACCCGAAAGATTAAATGAAAGAAGAAAGAATTAAAGATCAAGACATATAGTAGTTCCTCCTAGCTTCCTTGGTTCACTTCGAGAACCAGGTCGAATTCCATGGCGATTTGAAGATCGGGGGTTGAGTCCGTCCAGGAACCGATTCCCGCGATATCTTCTTGCAGGCGACTGACGTTTGACGAATGACTTTCAAAAAATGGTCAGCTTAAAGGACTATATAATATAGAGAAGGGAGGTAAATTTATTTACCTTTTGGGAGAAGGGTTTTGTTTACCAGTCAGGGCAGCAGGTCCATCTGAGGGTACCATAGAGGTCCGGCTACCATTGGAGTGGTTGACCAGGCACTGGTCCGAGGTCGACTTGTTGATGGTCGACTGAGAGTATTGAGAGTTGAATTGACCGTTGTTTCCCATTGCTAAGTATAAGAGTGGTAGGGGCAATAAAGAAGGAAGTGTTGATTATGTGCTAATATATGTATAGCGAAGGCAGTACGGTATGAAAATTGGTTGATTGGGCTTGGGAGAACAGAAGAACGGATGAAATATCGCTGTATAGACAGAAGAAGAGATTGTGATGGTAGAGCCTTTTATAGCACTCACATTGTGTGCTTAGACTACTGCATAGTATCCTAGAGGCAGCGGGTGGGGTCCATTGCCTGATTAGAACTAAGTCTCTGTGTGGGGCGGGCGGGGCTATCTGTCGATCATCTCGGCCGAAGCAGCCAACCATATCCATGCTTTGAAAATTTAGTGCCGGCATTGCTTACTTTTATTTTTTTTTTTTTATTTTTTTCATTATTTTATTATTTTATTTTATTTTATCTTTTGGTTTACAGGGGTACAAAAGTACATGAAATGTAATTTGGTCCATGGATTTTAGAATGCAATAGATAACACGAGGCTTGTCACGGAGCATGGACGCTTGCGAGATGTATAGCATGTTTGATTACTTTGACCTGTTTGGCATAGAACATTCACTGAGCATCGCTTAAACCCCTCACACACAAGCATTGAGCATATCCTCTGCTCCACTGATACGCTCAAGCAAGTCCGGGGTGGAATCAGCCCAGGAACCAATTCCAGCCAGGTCTTGTGCGCGTTCAGCGTCCGATAATCGAAAATCCTCGTAACTATGACAGGTTAAACGAAGCTTTGCAGTTGAAGAATACAAGGCAATGGACAATAATTACTTCTTCAGAGAAGAACTCTGGTCACTAGCCGGAGCAGTCAAGCCCTTCGACGGTGCCTCAGAGGTTTGACCAGTGCTCAACGGGTTGGCTGTGGATTTGTTGGAGGCCAGGTCGGCTACTGCAGGTTGAGAGGATTGCCCCTGCACCTCCCTGACACTGTGGGTGCTGGTCATGGTCAAGTAGGGTGGTGACTGAGGAAGGATATAGGGGTTGTATAGAGTACGAGCCGAGCCTGTATATAATTTAGTTGAGTATAAGAGAACTTGAGAGGATCATGAGAAGAATCAGCGATTTCTGGTAGAGAAATACTAGGGGCGGACGGCATTCTTATATCACAATATTTGTACACAATGATGTAGAAATAGGTGAAGGTGACTGTGAAGGACATTCAGAGCGCAAGCAGCATAGTACGCAATGAACGACAACTTCAGATCCGAGATTGAGGCTTATCAATTCCCACACGGTATTGTCGGCACTTCCCGGTGGCCAATGAGATCCACGTTCCAGAAGGATTATCACACGGGGTGTGATACAGGCACACCCCTATTGGCTACAGACACACCATCTAGCCGTTTTTAGTAAAATGTAGACCACATCATGTGATAACTCTATAGTGTATTCGTGTTAGGATACAAAGCCGCATAGCGGCGGGTACATGTACATAACGCGCACGTGCGGTTAATAAGCACCCGCACGTCACATGACCGCGACATAAAGTCTTAACCTCGCTGATGGCCGAGGACAGGACATCAGCGATTAGTACCGTGAATACTACGCATATACCTCTCATAACACTCACTGCGCTATCTATAGACCTTCTCTCACAATTCGAAGATGAGATTTATCATTATGATCATAATTGACTATGTACACCAACATTTAAAGAGTTAGAAGCTATTATTCCACCGCCTGAATACGCCCCCAATCAATAATACTGGTAGTTATCATAGTGTTGGATGTGTATGGACAGGTGCTGGGCCATGGTTGTGGGCTGGGTAATGGATCCTTAATCTTAAACGACCACTTGTCTGTCTGCCTGTCCCGATGGAGAGTTGCATAAAAAGGGCAGTTCTCACGGCGGGTGGTTTTCTCACGGACTCGCTTATCATCAGCAATGTTGTTCTTGTACACACCGCTGCGGTTGCAATGGAGGTAGCGTGCTTTGATTTGGCCATCTCCATGGCGCTTGGAACTCTTGGTTGTGAGGGCATAGCCATGCTGCTTTGTGAACTCATTGATGGCATCCATTGCCTCTTTCTCACTGGAGTAGATGGCGTCGACTGGAGGTGGAGGTAGGGAATTTGGTGGGCCAGGATCCTCCTCCTCATCGCTCAAATACTCAGCCAGGAGTGCCTGGAATGGCTGTTGATTAGCAGCATTTGCCATATTGATCTCACTGGCGCGTGGTTGATGCTGTGGGTAGTCAGACGTGATGTCTTTATTGTGATAATACCCTAATCATTTACCCTAATCTTATCATCACGTGCGAATACGCTATGAAGTTATCACGTGATGTGGTTTACATTTTACTAAAAACGGCTAGATGGTGTGTCTGTGGCCAATAGGGGGTGTGTCTGTAGCCAATAGGGGTGTGTCTGTAGCCAATAGGGGGTGTGTCTAGCGACAGCGGTGTGTCTGTATCACACCCCGTGTGATAATCCTTCTGGAACGTAGATCATCGGATGGAGCCCGTACTCTACCTTTCTAAGAGGATCTTACCGGGATCTATGGTCTAGTTTCCTATTATGGTCGCTCTCCAGCGCTTCATTGGCGTGGGTCGCTATAGGTGACAAGTTTGATTCGTGCATACAGAAGTCCGGATCTGCTCAGTCTTGAGCTGTGACGTCTCGCAATCTGCATATCTGTATCGTAGCCTAGTTCTGGTACTCCGTACCATCGCAACATCCTTGTAAAATGGATTTTCCAGTGTTGATTTCTAATTGGTGACTGATTTGGATCATGCCGCTTACGTATATCTTAGTGGAATATACACTCGCAGTAACACCCTGGAATATCATTGGCATTTTCAGGGGCTTCCTTGCACTTTATAATATGCTTCCCAATTCGCGCAATGACGTGCGACTGCATGCGCGACGGAACCCCCAGTGTGTTGCAAGTTCATGATCTGAGTACTCGGTCCACCAATCCCCTGGACCGGGTAAGGTAGTTCAGGGCCGCCTCACTAGTCCCTGAAGGACACCCCAGATGGCGCGCTCTTCACGGGAAAAAAAGGTCATGGGGACGGCTATGTTTCAGCGCAAAGTAAATAATGCCCTTCCTCTTCTTTTTTTGCCGCTTTGACTTCCAGACGCGGACCAGGTCCTCAGCGCTTTGCACTTTGCGCAAGAGCTCGACCTTCTTTTCCATGTTCGCAACAGACCGCAGAAAGGAAATGCGGAAGTGGGACCAAGTGATCTGGCGCATGGTTGCAGCCATGAATGAGACCGGTTGCTCTATTCCGCTCATGGGGTTGCCGCTTGGGCTTCGTCGATGGTCGGTAAGATCTCATGGGAGCTGATGTCGTCCTGCTCGGCGTACATTAATAGCTCCGTGTTATCGTCGAGCGCAATAGGTTCCCAGTTCGGGGTGGACCCGTTGACGACGACGACGGATCCCGGTGCAGGCGGTGCGGATGGCACGCGAGGGCTTGTCTGCGGCTCTCCATGGCCCGCAGTATCCCGCCCGTTGATGAAGGAGCAGACGACCCACGAAAGGGCCGGCGATGAGGCTTCGAGTTCGCGGTGGGCGGCCGCGTCGGCGTTGTAGTGGGCCTCGGAGGAGAGAAGCGGCGTGATGTCGCTGAGGAAGTAGACAGTGTTGTGTGAGGGTGTCTTGCCGTCGTCTGCCTTAAGGGTGTAGATGGCCTCGACGTTGGAGATGGGGGTGGGGAGATCGGCGGGGGGGAGGGAGGTGATGTTGGAGAGGCGCATGAGGACTCCGGGAACGGCCATGTTTGTGGAATTATTGTTTGCTCGCAAAGAGTCCCTTAGCTCGATTTTTAGGAGATCGATCAAATATACAATGGGACGACGGAAGTGATTTGAATGGAATCAAGTGGCTATACTTTTCTGTCCAGCTGTCTTGCATGGAATGACGGTTCAGGGAAGATATAATATTGAGTGGAGAGGAGTCGCAGCCTACATGAACAATACTTCCGAGCCGGAACTAGAAGATGGAAAAAGAGCAAAAAGTGAGTCCGGGCGTCTTCCCCGCCTAACCCTAAATCCGGACATGAACATCCGGAACTAAGATCCTAGCTAGGTAGAAAAATGTCTCCGCCCTATTCAGCAACTAAAGCTGCAACTGATTCTCAACTATTTACCTACCTGCCTAAACCAACCACCAATTACGCTCATCATGACCCCCCAACCTAAAGCCTTCCCTTCGTTCGATCAGCTCCCCATGCACGAGGGTGATCCTCCCAACTCAGCCTGGGGACTCTGGGGAGACGGCCCGGACAGTACATTGGGGTCACTGAACAACCTGACAGATGAGCTGGTGCTGAGGACGATCAAGGAAGAGGTAAAGACGGGAGAGCGGGCTGGTCTCAAGTACGTAGCTTAACTGGAAGCAGGACTGATTTTCAATGGTCCGTGGCAAAAACTGACATCTTGTTCTACAGTCTTCCCCTCGACATGTTCAACCCACCGTTGCTGGGACGGGCGGGTTTCGAGCAGAAGGTCATTGAAAAGAACCCCCTGGTCGTGAATGACGACGTGGTGAGTTTGTGTCCTTTCTGGTCCCGGGACAGACAGCAGGTGATTACAGGGGCTGACAAACAACGACGCAGATCACCTTCAACACCCAAGGTAGCTCCCAATGGGACAGCCTGCGCCACTTTGCCTACCAGCAGGACAAGAAGTTTTATAATGGGTAATAATGAATCAGTCTACAAGTCAAAAGATTGAGTGATGAAGACACAGCAGAAAGCTGACCCTCCAACCCCGCTGATATCCAGAACCACCCAATCCGACATCCACGCCTCCGACCGCACCTCCATTGTGCTCTTCCTGCGCACGGGCTATGCCGCTGGATACAAGGGGCTGGATGCGGAGGAACGAGAAAGGGTCTCCGGCGTGCGCGAATGGTGTGGCCTGGGCCAGTCGCGCGAGACAACCGAGTGGTTGTGGCAGAGGCAGTTTGCCGCCGTGGCAAGCGACTCGCCCGGGTTCGAAGTCCGACGTGAATGATAATACCAATACCCTTCCAGTTTATGTCTTTATGGCCTCCTGGCTAAAAACAAACAACAGCCCCAACAGAGAAGGAGTGGCATCTCCACCCGATCCTGCTGGCCGGATGGGGCACCCCGCTGGGAGAGCTGTTCGACCTTGACGCGCTGGCCGAGCTCTGCGCAAAGAACGGGCGCTGGTCCTTCTTCTTCACGTCGGCGCCGCTGAACTACACCGGCGCCGTGGCCTCGCCGCCTAATGCGACAGCCATCATGTGAGCGGGGGAGGGGGGGTTGAGTGGGCAATTATGCTTGATTGGGTGGTGACTGACCGGCTAACTACCTATCGGGCCTATGCTCGGGTGGTGAGAAGTTACGTGCTGAGCGGGGCCCAAATGTGAAGATGTTTCTAGATATGTACATAGAAAACACAGTACAAAGTAGAAATCAAACAAAACAAACTAGTCATCTCCAACCTCATTCCATCATCAGGTGATAATATCACCTTACTAGTTGTCTCCCCCCTCAAGCCACTAGCCATAGAGATGAGGGAAAGAAATCTCTCAAATGCCTCTTGATGCAGGATCTTTGTCAGACCATCTGTGGCCATGTCCTGTAACTGGATACTCTGAATAATCAAGATACCTTAACTATTGCTGAAGATCCTGGATATGATGGAATTAGATGATCTATATGCTTGGAGCATCTTGTCTTCTTGCTGCTGGTCACTATGATTCTACCTGCCCAGGAACCCCAGCCCCGACTCAACCCACGTCGTCCTCCTCTGGCCCTCATCCACAACCAACTCATACACCTCATTCCACATCGCAGCAACCGCATCCCGACCCTCGAACCTGGCCCACTCATCCTTGTCCTCGTATCGAGCAAAGACCAGCAAGCCCTCATCCTGCTCCCCATCTCCACGGTGCAGCACCCAGAAGCTGAGGACCTGGTCCTCCCGCTCCGCCTCCCGTACCAGTCCGTGCAGCTGCTTCAGGATCTGGTCCTTGTGCCTGGGCCGTGGCGTCAGCTCGTCCACGACGATGTACTGGCGGGTCCCGGAGGAGGAGGCGTGGCGGCCCCGGTCCATGAAGTTGACGGGCCCCCGGCTGCCATCGTCGTCGCGTGTGAGGAAGCCCACGGATGAGGGCCGCCAGAAGCGCAGATCGCTCGGGCGCTCAAGCAGCCCCTCGGCGGCGGCGGCGGCGCGGAAGGCCTTGTACTCGGCGCTGGCGCGGTGGGTCACGGTATTGGCCTCGACATCCTCGTAGCTGAGACGTATTGTTTCATTGTCAATCCCGAGGCTGCACCACCTCGTTGTGGGATGTGAATGGATGGACCTACACTTCTAACCCCCGGAGCCAATGGTGTGGAACGGCGTCGCTGTCCTCGGCGCTCCGGAACCAGGCGTATGCACGACACTTTGGCTCGCTGTCGTGGGTCACAGGGCTGATTTTTGAGATGTATTCGAGGAACTATGAGGGAAGGTGGTCAGCTATACGCTCACCTAATCAATTAATCAATCTTTAATATCGACATACACGGTCCCTCTTCGCTGGTGAGGCGCAGTTGGAGAGAGGCGCAATGATGAACATGGTGATTTACTTGCCGTTGGCTGTTAACATGTTTGTGCACCAGTGATTCCTTTAAAAAGCAATATCATAGCATCCAGACACAACGACAAGACACAGAAGACTCCGAATGTTGGAACCTCGGACTTGCGTTTTGTCGTTCATCCACCCGGACAATCATGTCCGTCGACCCATAGGCCATAACGCCCCACCTCTCACCATACCTCACAACTCCCGCGCTTCAATAGAGTAATCAATTTCGACCATCGAAACCATAGTATCCCCCCAAAATATTCACAATATGTCCGCCGAAACCCCAACTCTTCCGACCTCCTTTTTGGAGCCCATCCTTTCTCTTCCCTCCACTTCGGTCCGCCTCAGGTGGTACACGTGCGTGCTGGTGGCCCTCTCTTCGCTCAACTACCCCGATGTGATCCCCCAAGTCTACTCCCACCTCGACGCCCATCTGCTGTCCGCTCTCTCTCCCGAGGACCGCTTCGCCGCCGTCCGCAAAATCCGCGAGGGCCTGATCAAGTCCACCGGCATTGTAGGTGCCGCCCGGACGGGCAACGCAATGCGCGCCCTGGGCGGCTGCATACCTGAGGAGCTGCGCGAGAAAGAGTCGCCGAGGTCCAAGGAGTCGGTCGAGGTGGCCAGGCAGAGGGGCATGGCATTCTGGACGAGGATCTACTCCCAGAACCGGGCGTTCGACCCTGAGGCGTCTGTGAGGGCCAGTCCCGACTACGCGTTCGTCGTGCGAGGTATGATTCTTTATCTTGCTGCTGGTTTGGCTGCTGACTGACGCATGATCGAAAATGTTAAACAACAGAGCTGCTCTACGGACACATCTTTTCCTTTGATGGTGTTATCGACGACCTGACTACCGGGTATGTCATTGTCTCGGCGCTGTATGGCATGGACTGCCAGACCCAGCTGCAGAACCATATGAAGGGCATGTTGATTAATGGCGCCACGAGACAAGATCTCGAGGGGCTCCGAGAGCTGTGTCTGGGGCTGGCAAATATCCTGGGGGTCAAATTCAGACACCGGCCTGCACCGATCCCTACGATGCCGGGCGAGGAAGAGCTGGGTAAATAGAGAGAAGACATGCATAAATTGTACAATCAATGATCTATGTAAGATAAAAAAAAAAAATTAAAAAAAAATAAAATCCTAAGATTTCCTGACTTATTGCTCCTTGTATTCGTGCCATCCTTCCATCCCGTCCACGTCGTCCAAGCCCATCGCCCATCGGATAGAATCCAGCATCCGTGTGTCAAACACCCCACTGGCTGGGAGGTCGGCCCATCTCCTGAAACCGTGAGGTAATCCCGGAAATACGTAGACGCTCATGGAGACCATGTTTGTGAAGGGGATGCATGGTTAGCATTGCCCGACCAACCCTTTCTCTCCACTCGCTCACACCGCACCAAAATCCGACTCACCCCAGCGTCTCCAGCCTCTTTGCTAACAATAGCCCTGAACGGTGTCGGCCCCTTCACCTGGATTCCCCTGGCCAACGTCTACGGCCGTAGCTTCGTCTACCTGGTCACCACGCTCATCGGCTTTACCACCGCCCTGGGCAGCGGCTTCACCCAGACGTATCCCGTCCTGATCGGCGTCCGCGCCGTCAACGGTCTCTTCCTCGTGTCCATGGCCCTAGGCCCGGCCACCGTGACAGACCTGTTCTTCTACCACCAGCGCGGCCGCGCCCTCGGCCTATTCACCGTCATGCTGACCTCGGGCTCCCACTTCGCCGCCCTGTTCGGTGGGCCCGTTGCAAAGTTCCTCGGCTGGCGCTGGATCTTCTGGATCACCGGGGCCATGAACTTCTGCACCCTGGCCCTCCTGGTCGTCGCCCTGCCCGAGACCATGTACTACAAGCCCCGGACGTACTTGGACACCAGAACCGAGGCCCCCAAGCTGACTATGGCCAAGTACCGGCAGCTGCTGCGGCCCTGGGACCACCTTCCCCGGCGTCCGTATTAAGGCCAAGCACATCATCACCCCGGCCTTCCGCATGGCCCGCTATCCGTCCGTCCTTCTACCTAGCCTGTACTACGCCACGCAGTACTGCTTTTCGGCCATTTTTCCGGCCGTCACCTACTCCATCGTCTTCGAAACGCGCTTCAGCTGGGACGCCTTCCAGAGTGGCATGGCGTACGGGGGCACCGTGACTATCGCCAGTATTGCCGGCGAGGTGAGTGTTCTTTCTTTTGTGATATCTGTAACCCAAATGACTCCTCATGATAGTTCGCCGCAGGCAGGATCATCGACAAAATTGTTCAGCGTGAGGCCAAGCGGCTTGGCGTGGACAGCCCGCCGTCAGAGGTGCGGCTCAAAGGTTTGTGGTCGGGGGCGGCGCTGGTGCCCGTGGGCCTGCTCATCTTCGGTTTTACCATAGAATACGAGACGCACTGGGTGGGCCCGCTGGTGGGCTTTTTCATAGGAATATTCGGAATCCAGATCGTGGCGACCGTGTGTTACACGTACAGCATTGACTCGTACCGCGTGGAGGGCTCCGAGGTCTCTCAATTCATTAACTTCTGCCGCCAGACCACCAGCTTCACCGTCGCCTTCTACGCCGTCGACCTGTGCGAAGCCATCGGGTTCCAGTTCACCTTCCTTATGTTCGCGCTCGTCGGCACCATCCTGGTCTTACCGTCTATAGTGTGGCTCGTGTGGAAGGGAGGCTCCATCCGCGAGAGGCTAGGCAGGCCGGTCAATGTCAGCGTTGCCCAGGAGATTGGCTTGGATTACGATCTGGCCAATCGCAACCGGACCCATGAGTAGGGAACAAGTGAAGAAAAGCTAGCAGATTCCTCTTCAGTGTGAGACTGTAGTCCAGGTTGGGGGTTGGATAGCATGGACTATGTGTTAGTACTAGGCTTGGCACGTGACTTCTCAACGACCTCGCATAAGCCCGATAGGTAGTTAGCCAGGAGGCCATTCGGTCACCATCCAATCAGGCATACCTGCCCACTCAAAGGCTATGAGCCCTCTGCCTCTATCTCTAGAGTCGTGTTGAGATTGATATAGCGTGTAGAAAGCGGGGAATTCAGATTTGACTTCAGATTTTGCGCTTTTTGTCCAATCTGTTTTACTCGTCCGAACCTCCAAATCGTGAAAAATCTTCACCAAACCCCTGAATATTCCTCAACTGAGAGAGACCCCTGGAGAGCTTGAAATAGCGGCCCGGAGACCTGACCTACACACCCTGGAGAGCTTTTTATGTATAGCGGCCCAGAGACACCAAGCATAACGAATCGGATCCAAACTGTTCGATCAAAAATGGCTGGTCAATCGGCTCGAGCAGATCGCCGGACTAGCGAAGACCTGGCTAAGGAGGCAGATGCTGGTTTATCAGGCATGGATATAGGGCCAGGATCGCCTACCCCAATGCCAACGAACCAACAACCAAACATGGCTGGTAAATTGGCCCAACCAAATCAGCTGAATACAATTGATATGATGCGTAAAATGCATGCATTCATGTAACGACAGCAAGTTCAAATGCAACAACTGCAGGCCCAGACCCAGGTCCATGAGGCCTGAATCCAGGAACTGCAGGACGTGCTGCAGCAAGAAACTATCAACAACAATAATCAGCAACAGGCAGACCCGAATGCTGCTTTTATGGCGCAGTTTATGGGCTCTCTTCAATCAAACACCACACAAGATCCTCTGGAGAAGGAGGAGAAAAGAATAACATGTCTTGCAACTCACCATTGGAGAGATCATACACCCTGTCTGGAAGGCAGAGAGAATTTTACCTCATGGTGGAATGCTATTCTCATGGTTGCAGAATATATTGGTGGACGTGAGATTCTAGTCCAAGAGATAGCCCAACCACCACCAGATGGGAACCCCATGGAAAAGCTTCAATGGGAAATACGTTCTCGTCTACTACATACCCGAATTCTTGATCAACTGCCTCCGGACATACAGCAGCAGGTCCAATCAGAGCACATTCAGTCGCCTGTCCAACTATGGCGATGACTCAATAACGGATATGGCCTTTCCTATGACCCAGGCACTGTCAGCCGGGGCCAAACAGTGGCCATCCAATGGGTCCCCGGACACTATGGGGTGGAAGGCAATGAGAAGGCAGATCAGGCAACAAAGGCAACAGCAGCAGGGACTCCTGCAACTGGAAGGACACGAGGCTAGCTCTCCCTAGCTCACCTCCGGAGAGCCCAGACAGGCTACCAGGGAGGTTCTGCAAGGATTACAACGTATATACACCCAAAGAAATCCCAATTTTGCTACAAAAAACCCTCTTAACCAACCACCCTCGCCTGTCAAGAGCAACATGTCGACTTTGTCCCCGAAATCATCTCATCAGCTGCTAAGAGGTCAAAAGCGTTCCGACGCTCAGGGTGACGGTGATCGATCTTCTGGTCCTGCTCCACCTTTGCCGATTGTGGACCGTAATTATACATCACAAGATCTTCAAGACCAACTGGTTTACACAGACCAGGTGTTGCGCAATTCAAAGAGAAGACTATCTCCCATTGAGGCCCGTGCACTGAAGCTTTACGAAGATACATGTGCCAGATTGCTTGACCTTGAACAGGGTGAGGTTGGTGAAGGGAGAGGAAAGGAATTAGAGGCAATGAAGAATGAGTGGAAGTCAACTCTATGCATGTATGAACAGTCTATGCAATATACTGCATGTCTGATTGCCACTCGCTCTTCAGACGCCCAGGAGCTTCAGGACCAATTAATTATGCTACAAAAAGCCGCCTTCTACTCTTGATACGATTATACGGTGACATCTTTGCTGAAATGTGCACGAAACTCAAGGCTCAGGCAGAGGCAAGAAGGCTTGATGACTGGCAGATGGTGCAGAGACACTACTGGACAGAGATTGATGCAAATATTCATCATGAAGAGGATGCCTATCACCATGTTCTTTCTGGTTGACAAGCTCACGGACAGTGCCTGACATATCTAGCAGTCTCGCATGCATATGACCATGTTGGATTGAATCTTGATAACACAATCCAAGTCATACACCTCTGCTCGGAATGAAACCAGGTTTTTCACACAAACATCGTCCCACTGATCAAGAATGGCTTCTTTTTTGACCTAGCAAAGCATCTCCACAATGACTGCTGGGAAATGGCTGGGAGGGGTTGAACAAGAAAATGATACTGTAGGAAATTTACCTCGGGTTTTTGGTCTCCTATCAGGAGAAAAGGAGGTCAAGCAGGTGGCCTTTTCGCAATTGAGGTGGAACGCGAATGAGTCAAGCGTATGAAGGGCAATTGGTTGAAAATTTTGAACTTTGTTCAGGGCGACAGAAAACTATCTGATCTATAGTTTCAATACTACAGCGAACTTGCTGTGTCCCCTGAATGTTTATGACCTGTCCCTTAGCAAGTGACTCCTTGTTTGCCTGGACTGTCAATCTTAACTTGGGTGATGCTGTTCCTGGGTCTCAGAGCCTGACCCACTGGGCGCCCAATGACTGCCCCGACGTGCACCAAGCTCACGAGTACGCATCGCCCTCCACAAAGAAATTTTGTACGACTCCACAGCGCAATACTCCATACCCGTTCTGAGCACTTGGCTCCATAGGTAGCATCTTGCCTTATGGTCCCTGTCGAAGCTAAGACCACGATTGCCAATACTCTGGTCCATAGGGCACTATATAGTTGCCCTAAATTACCATGGCGGAGGCTTGCTGCTTGCCGGCTGCAGAGAGTGCCAACCAAGACCATGCTACAGCTTGGCAGGGAAATATTTGTACTTATACTGATCAAATCCATGGTTTTTCATTTAAAATTGCACTAGATTCCGTGTGGAATGCCGTTGACTTCGACTTTTGCTTTTTCAGGTAATCCATGAATATGTATTGATGGCTTCTTCTAGTGCCACACTATCAAATCTGGTCCCTTAAATTCTTTCTTGCATATTTTTTCATATCTTCTTTATCATCATGCGCCGCTCAGTGCTTGTCACAGCTTGATAGCTAGTGAAGAAAACAAGTGGGTGAACTCATATTTTGACCGGGTAATTTATCGAAGGGATATCAAATCTGGAGATGAAGTAGTAGAAAGAGAAATGAAGAGAACTATCTATTCAGTGTGTGGTTGCATACGGAAGGGCCAGAGCTGCGCTGTTTGCTCATATTGACCCCTTGTCAATATTTGCAAGCATTGTCCATCTGACATATTTCCATTTTCAGCAACATCTAAAATACTCCCTTAGGATCTGGCAATTTTCCATCCACAATCTGGTCTGGTATATGAGCCTGAACAATTCCATCTTCTCCCAGATACTCATCCCGTGAGTACAATTCCAGCGCCTCCCACCCCAGACTTTGGATATTATTCCAGATATTGAACGCAGACTTGAATGGAATCCGCCACTTCCACCAAATAAAGTCCTCAGCCTCATTTACTTCCGCCTGTCCAGCGATAAACACCTCCTCCTCCCTCTCTTCCAACAGCTCCACCCACGATGATTTCTGCATGTTATGATGCACGACTACTGTGTCTTCAGTAGGAGATTTGTCATCCAGGACAGAAATCCACCTAGTACTTAGACTGCTTGCATGGCGGCTTGTGAGGTCTTCTAGGCGATTGCGTGTGTAACAGCGAATTTCAGCGTCAGAAGCACCTTCAAAACCTGTGGTGAAATCAGGAATGGGCGGGTCGCTCTGCCATTCATCCAAGGTTTCTTGGGATGGATCACGGACAAGACTGAAGATATTGGCTGCTTGTTCTGGGAGAGCGCAGTCAGTCATTAGGCGGTTGATTACCTGTGGATAAATTTAGCGGTGCGGGATAAAAGCTTCATAGTCGCTATTTACAAACCCTTGCAGGCATCTGGGCAGTGCAGAAGAGAAGAATTGTAGACATGATGGATAGTGTGTGATTGAAAATATTGTAGAGATAGCGATGGAGAGGATATTGGTTTGAAAGTAATGGCGGCGGGGGGCGGGAGGCTGTGAGCTACCTTAGTATGTATAGTTAATGTTCGGTCCGGCGCTAGACCTGTCACGGGCTCGGACTAGTAGATACTAAAGAATTGATATTCCTATCTAAACTAGTGTAGCCATCGACGAGAATATTGAATCTGGAGAGGAAAAGAAGAAGAAAGGAAGCCGTCTGGCAAGACAAAGAAAAACTATCTACCCATCGTGCGATCACGTGTGATGGAGCCATCACTTGTCGTTTGCTTGCCACGGGTTCGGAATAGTAGATATCAACGAACTGAATTCCTATCTAAACTATTGTAGCCATCAACGAGAATATCGAATCTGGGAAAGAAGAAGAAAAGGAAATATATCTAGGCAATGAACAGTCTTTATAGACATTTGTGTGTGATGCGGCTTAAGCCCTTGTTTGCCCATATTGCTTATATGGCGTCGTTTGACATGTCGGTGCTGTTTGTCTGGTGTTGAGCCGTCACATAACCCCCCTCCTTAGGCGGAGTCCGTCCCTAGACTCTATGTCAGTCTGTTATCATCAGTGTGGTCGTCAATCTCATCAATCCCCTCTTCCTATGTCTTCAACCATTCCTTCAGACAACATGGCGGTCCTGCTTTCTCTGGATACCTCTGGTGATAATCACGTAAACGGTGTGGTGAGCCTTTGAAATTGGTGGTGGCTGAGTACCACGTCCAGTCCTCATAAAATCCAATCCACTTCACTTGGTACTGCAGTCGGCGTTGTTGTATATGAGACATGAGGACTTCCTCCACTTCCCACCCCTGTTCATCTCCAACAATGATCAGTTCTGGTGGCTCAATCACATGTCCTGGCAAGGGATCATTGGCAGTGCATCATAGTTTGTCTGGTGAGAAGACTGGATGGATTTTCATTGTGTCCGGTAAGTCCAATCAATAGGAGCTACCAATCCGCTCAAGAATTGGGAAAGGCCCTGCCATCTGACTATCAAGCTTCTTGTTAGGACAGTCTGTCTGATAGTGTCTCAGGGAGAGCCACACTTGATCTCCCACATCAAAGCCAACAGGATGATGTCAGTAATCTGCTTGCTTCTTCTGCTGGTCCTGAGTCTTCCTGATCTGGTTGTCTATAGCTGTCTATACTTGCTCCATCCTCTTCGCCGTGTCTTGGGCTCGTTGTTGACTAATCCGCTCATCCTGTGGGAGGGACCCTCCTATCGGCGTCCAGTCAAATGAAGTTCAGGGCTTGTATCCACAATCAACTAGGAAGAGCGAGGCGCCAGTTGATTCAGATGGTAGAGCAGCGGCAGTGAAATCAATTGATAGCAATAGGTCTGACCAATTATCCTGGTAGTGATTGATGAAAGGCCTCAATTGATTCACAACATGCTGGTTCACAATCTCTGTCCGGCCGTCAGTCTGCGCGTGATAAGCAGTGGAAAGTTTCAACTGGATTCCAAGGATTTGACATAGATCATCCCAAAATGCTGATATGAACTGGGACCCACAGTCTGGAACAATGGTCGTCAGGGGTCCTCTATGGCGGTAGACATGTTCAATGAACATATGTGCAACATCTTCAGAAGTAGCGGCCTTTTTGCATGGTATGCTGATAGGCTTCTTGCTGAATCAGTTCACTATCACCAGTGCAGCGTTGTATCCCTTCTTATCAGGAGGGAAAGAATGGAAATCCATAGAGATGTGCTGCCAAGGACGTTCTGCAATGGGCAAGGGTTAGAGTAGTCCCAGGGCACAGTCTCATGAATTTTAAGCTCTTCAACAATTTGAGCAGTTCCACACGTACCTTTCAACGTCTCATCTCCAGGTTGGCCAAAAGTATCGCGTTTGGACAAGCTGTTGAGCTTTTGTTCTCCCTGGGTGTGCAGTTGATACCTGCATATGTATTTCATCAAACAACTGAGTACACAGCTTAGGATTATCATCAGGTACAAACAGTCGGTCTCCCTTCAGTAGCAAGCCATCTTGCACAACCCAATCATCCACCCCTTTCTGGGCCTTATCACAGTACTATTTGTGACGGTCTCGAGCAATATGAATATATATTGGTAGACTATCTGACAAAATTCTACACGAGGAAAGAAAGGAAAAAGACAGGCCTGCCGGCGACGAGCTATCTAGTGTGTGTGATGGGTTTAAGCGAATGCTCAGTGAATGTCCTACGCCAAACAGGCCAATGTGATCAACATGCTATACAGCTCGTGAGAATCCCTGCTCCGTGACACTATTCTGCAGTCGATTCTCAGTTCACCTTGAGCACCCGATCAACTATCTGCAAGGTGGGTTCCAGGGCGTTAACCTACACAGACTGCTCAACAGATTCAGGTTTCAACAGGATCTGTTGACGGTACTCATCCTTCTTCTGTATCTCAGTTGTCAGTCGGCTGAGAGCATCTGCAAGAGTGTTCTCTCATCCGGGTTGGTATCAGATGAAGTAGAATCAAGAGAGGAATTCAGCCCATTGAGCTTGTCAAGCATCAGCTTCTTCATCATCATAAAGTATTCTAGCGCTCGGTGATCAGTATAGACATCAAAATGTTCTCAGAGTTGCAACCCTTCCAACTCAGCTCGCCACTCCTGCAGCATGCGTATGATGGCTAGCATTTCTTTGTCATGGATTTCATAGTTGCACTCAGCATCTGACATGCTCTTCAAGTAATAGGCAACTGGGTGCCAGAGATCTCCATGCTTCTGAAAAAAGACCCCTGCCACCACTCCATCTGATGCATCTGTCTCCAATTTCGTCTCTAGATCAGGGTGGTAATGTCATAGTATTGGGGCGTCTGTTAACCGCTTCTTCAATTATTCAAAGGCTTGTTGGCATTCATCTGTCCATATAAAAGGGACATCTTTCCTTGTCAGTCGGCTCAGTGGCTTTGTAATGTGGCTATAGTCCTTGATGAACCTCTGGTAGAAGTTGCAGAATCCAAGGCAGGATTGCACACCCTGGACAGTAGTTGGCACTGCCAAGTTACAGATCACGGCAGTCTTCTCTGGGTCAACTTCAATGCCATTTGTTGTCAAAATAAATCCAAGGTACTTCATCCAGGTGACGTGGAACTCGCATTTCTTGATACTGGCTTGGAGTCCTGCTGCGTGTAGTCATTCAAGCAACTTCTTGACATGGAGCTCATGTTCTGCAGCATTCTGGGAGTAGATAAGTAAATCATCCACAAATGCAGTCACAAAGCTATCCAAATAGTCCATAAGGGTATCATTGATAAACCGTTGGAAAGCGGCCGATCTGTTGGTGAGTCCAAAGGGTACAAAATGATATTTGTAAGTCGGAAGTTCCATACCGGGTCTGGAAAGTCGTCAGATCCTCAGACTCAGGGCTGAGTCGGATTCGGTGGAACCCTTCTTAAATGTCCAGCTTTGTAAATATCTTCACTCTGCTGATTCATTCCATCAGTGAGAGGAAGGTTATCCCTTTATATATGCATCTACATTCATCTCATCTACTTCAGCCTCTTGATATAAGCTGTTTTGCGCCACTGAAGCACTACTATGGGCAGAAAATCAGGGAGATGGCGCAAAATGACATTCATTCAGCTAACAAACACGAATTCCTATCTATCTACACCAAAATCCATGCTCGTGCATTCTCAAAGGCCAATATATTGGGTGGACTTGCAGCTGCTGGTCTTATTCCTTTTAAACCAGAGAGTGCTCGCAAAACTCCATATCAAGCTGAAGACACCAATTCCACCTTCTTCTCCATCCAGCAATCAATCCTTTTATTTAGGAAGAACACCAGCCAGTCTTTATCAGTTGAATGAGCAGAAAAAGCAGATTCAAGACCTCAACGACAGTCTCTATCCTCAGTTGTTGCAGAGCAGATGCTTGAAGAGTCATAAAGGGTGCAGAGATGGCAATGCAGAATTCTATCCTTTTACAACAAGAAATCCATCGGCTTCACACATCAAATAAGCATCAGAAAGAGAAGAAGATGACACGAGCCTTTATTCAAGATAAAGGGAGTTTAACAGGTGAAGAGGGGCTGCAAAGATTGAGAGAAACTAGAAAGAGAGGCCATACAAGAGCCATCATCATCATCATCATCATCAAGATCCTGACGACCAGCACGGTGCAGTAATTGCAATAAAGAAGGCCATAATAGATTGAAATGCCCTGTTCCCTGTTAGAGAACAATAGATTTAATGGATTTAATGGATTTTGGTTTGCTTTAATAGGGAGAGGATCAATAGATATAGAGGTGGCTCACCGCCGCTGACTAGTTAACTAGTAGAAATAACGTCATTTGGGTACAGCTAACCTTTTTAGGACTTTTGGCCATAAAACCTCTTTCGTCACCGCCTTTGCATATGAACACATGGAGATAACCACAGCATAGTGATGGTGATGACAGTGACGACGGTCACAACAGCAACAACACCTCTCTTCATTATGGCGACTCCCACTCTCACCTCTCATACATCACCTCTCCATTTAACCCCCGAACCACTCACTCCGGACTCTTTTGCGCCCTTCGGTACCGCGATTGTCCCTCCGCTTCCCCACAATCTCATCGCTAAACCTCCTCCGCTTTCCTCTCTCCAGCAACAACATGGGACTCCCACACCCGTGCTAGCAAATCAATCCACTGCTATCAAGTACAGCTCCATATCTCCATTGCAGAATGACTATCCGGGATCTCCCAGCGGGCAGCCATCGTCCGCACGGATGAGTATGTTTTGCTGTTTTCCGCGGGAATTGCGACACGCCTCGACTACTATGGCACTCTTCGATGTCAGAATCCTAGAGAGACACCCGTACACCACGCAGACGTTCACGCCCCTCAATTCCGCCAGCGAAGACCAACAGATTGCCAATGAACCGCTTTACCTCGTTATCGTCGCTCCAACCCTCAAAGATCAAACCATTGCCGCTGCCGTTAAAAACCCCACGACTAGAATCGCAGAGTCAGTCACTATAATCGACCCCCCGGATCTCAGCAAAGTCAAGGCGTTCGTCGCCCGTCGTGGACAGGCGGTGACGTATGGGGCTGGAACGTGGCATGCACCGATGGTGGTATTGGGGAAGAGACGGGTGGATTTTGTGGTTGTGCAGTTTGCGAATGGGGTTGCGGAGGAGGATTGTCAGGAGGTGGCTTTCGGGGAGGGTGTTGAGGTAGAGGTGGACAGCAATGAGGGCAATAGATTGGAGAAGCTATAGGAGATTCGTTATAGGTAGGGGTATACTCTTATGTACAGGTAACGTGCATCACTACTCATGTTAACACATCAATCAAGGATCGTTTCATCATCTTTCCCATCCCGCAGCTCATCCCGGTATTCCCTGGCCATTTCTATGGTTTCCTGGGGCAATCCCGCCAATTTCGCTACTTTCAACGCGTGCGACTCGCGATTAACCCCCTTCCGCAGTCGATGGATGAAGGAGAACGAGCCAGATGCCGTTTCCTTGACATCTGTACAGTACCGTCCCAGTGCATCGAAGTCATGTGTCTTCTTCGCCAGAGCGTGGAAGTGCGTCGCGAATAGCGTCCGGCATCGATTTCGATAATGCAGGTGGTGCAGGCACGCGTAACTCACTGCCGTGCCATCTTCGGGCGTCGTCCCACGACCAACCTCGTCCATGATTACGAAAGAGCGCGGTGTCGCTTGTGTTAGAATGGCTGTCGTTTCCAGCATCTCGACCATGAACGTTGATTGATCACGGAATAGGTCATCAGCTGCTCCAATCCGACTGAAAATCTGGTCGATAATCCCGAGCTCTGCATACGCGGCTGGTACAAAAGAGCCGACTTGTGCCAATATCGTAATCAAAGCGTTCTGGCGAAGAAAAGTGCTCTTTCCTCCCATATTAGGACCTGTGATGAGCCAGATTCGTTCCACGTCATCACCCAAAAAGCAGTCGTTGCTGACGAATGGCCGACCCTGTTCCTCGAGTCCCAGCTTGACTGTGGGATGACGACCACCCACAATCCGATGCGCCGTGCCCATATTCAATATCGGACGGACGAGATTCTGCTCCTGAGCAAGGCTGGCAAATGAACAAGCCACGTCAAGCTCGTCCATGACGGCTGCGTTGTGCCGGATCTTCACCAGATTCAGGATCACACCTCGCCGAAGTCGTTCGAAGATGACATGTTCTTCTTGCCGGATCTGAACCTTTATTTGATCCATTTTACCGCCAAGGTCTGTCCACGCCGGAAGGTAGAATGATCGGGTGCTCTTGGTTGAATATACGCTTCGCGTTACTCCCAGCTCCTCGAGCGATGCCTGCGTAATTCTGGCATTCCTGACATGGCAAATATGCCCCAGTCCGGCGGACCACCTGAGTGATATATGGGGCGATCTGACAGAATCACGCAGCCACGTTGTTAGCCGCGACTTTTCGTCGTGCAATCGATCTAGTTCCTCATGTAGGCCGCGCAAAGCTGGACTCGCCTCGCGTCTCATGATCCATGTATCAACGGTTTGTTCCTCCGCTGCGGGTGTGGTATTTTTCTTCCCCTTCACTTTCTTTGGTAAAGTTTCGACGTCTTCTGGTAATCCCTCTGTCGCTGTTACTTCTTGTGCCAGCACTGCCGCCTCCGCTGCCGTGGCGTCTTCCATACGTTGCTTCTGTAACAAACCCTCTTCATCGATGGCTGCGAGAATATCATCCGCAAGTTTTGTAGGTCCGTCGAGGTGAAGACGATCGATCATCATCTTTAGACTACCCTTAACTCCAGCATCGGAGCCATCGCCATCCTTGGCCGACAGCACTTGCCGGATCTCCTTCGAGGCCTGGATGGCTCTTGAAAGGCAGATCAGGTCATCTGCGTCACCACGTCCCAGTGTGAATTTCTGGACTAGACGCTGAGCATCATAGCTACGTTTCAGTAACTGCATTATGCTCTCTCGTAGTTCTGTATCTTCGATGAAAATCGACACTAGGTCAAGGCGTTCGTTGATGACCTTCAGTGACGTAGATGGTGATGCTGAAACCTATTAGCAACGCATCCTCGGATCTTGAGTAGATCGGTGATGGGTACATACTCAAACGGTCCCTCAGCAGACGGGCGCCGCTCTTTGTGCTGGTCCGTCTGACTGCGTGAAGAAGACTTCCTTTCCCAAAACCATCGCGGGCTGTCTCGAGTATTTCTAGTCCTCTCAAACTATTCCGGTCAATGTTCATCGACTCATTCAAGTGTCGACGACGTGGTGGTTGAAGTTGCATGTTCGAACCCTGCAGCTGAACCCGGATGTATTCCAAGAGGTTATATCCCGCAGCAGTTTCCTCTGTCGTAAACGCGTCGATAGTGTCCGCTGGAACGGGTGTTTCGAGCATCGAGCCCCAGGCCGACATGGGCGCAACGTCTCCGGAAAATGGAAAAAAGGTCAATAAACGTTGATCCTGTCCAACCAGTGACTGCAGCTCATGTCCAACAAGATCCTGGGTAATTTGGTCAACCAGGATCTCGCGAGCTCCAATACGTGCGATGGCAGACGGGAGCATCTGTGCTGTCGCGAACTGGGTGAGAAACTCGCCTGTAGACAGATCAAGCCAGGCCAGGCCTACGGGTTGAGAAGGGGATGCCAGGATGTGTTGATGAGAGGTTACTTCGGTGTCCTCAGCGGCCTGGTCTTCTATATGCGCCTTCAGGGAAGAGACGTCCATGTAAATGGCCAGCAGGAAGTTGTTCTGGGTGGGATCCATGAATTTTTCATCGATCAGAGTACCCGGTGTGATGACTCTGGCCACTCTGCGGTCGAACATCAGACCTTTGGAGCGTGCTTTCTCTTCTGCAGTGTTGGCGAACTCTTCACTGATAGCGACATATTTGTTAAGATCTTGAACCAGAACCTTCAAGAACCGGTCAGCCTGGAAAAACGGGAAGCCTGCCATGGGAACAGGACCCGCGTTGGTCTTCTTGAAGCTAAGCTTGATGTTGAGTAATGGAGCTAGTTCTTCTGCTTGCTCAAAGTATAACTAAAAGATATGTTAAGCACTTGGACCCAACCAATGGAACCAATCTACATCCAGAAACCATCAATATTTATCTCATACCTCGTAAAAGCCCCCGACTCTGGTCAACAGCACACAGTTCCTGAATTTCTGCATGTTATTCCGGTGTCCCTGGATCACCGTCGGATATTGAGGTGTATCATCTTCAGGAGTATCATTGTAGGGTTCGAGCTTCAAAGCACCCTGAGGTAAGTCCTTGAGTTTCAATGTAGACTGCGTCTTTTTACTCCTTTTTTGCTCGAGCTGACCTGGAGCCGAGACTGAAGCTCCAACAAGGTGTAGGGCAGGACGGCGGGCATAGTGGCAGATACTCCGATGGGTATTGCACCAGTGCGGATGTAGGATATAGCTCCTGCGACCAACCAAAGAGCGACTAGAGGGCTGGATTAACGAAAGAAACCCATGCATGCGCATGTTTTCTTATTATTGACCTCTAGTTGTTGTGTTGTAACCATAATAAAAAAGCGTTCCTTGGATGGCGGCGATGGTAGACCTCGCCAAACCTTCCCTCTCGGGTCGCCACTGAAATCTTCCGACTCCGTCAAACTTCCCTTCACCAACTCTTCAAGCAACACCTCAACCTCAACTACGGCAGCTTGCACCCCACGACACAACGAGCGAGCTTGCCTTCTTTTATTCGACCTTGCTGTTGCGATGCTTCAGGTTTGTGAAGACATCTGAAAGAAATTATCTTAACGCTGCAGAAATTCATTTTTCGCTTCTGTCGCAGGTGTCTGGACGCGCCGGTTGATTCTGAGCTCCGACGAGCCCGGCCGACTTTTCGCGTCGCCATTTATTCCACCTATATACCTCTTTTTTATCCCTCGTTAATACAGATTCCACTCCTTCACAATGGCGGACCCAAACAATATCTCGCAGTACAAGTACTCGGCGATGTCCAACCTGGTCCTCCAGGCGGACCGCCGTTTCGTCTCCCGCATCCAGGATGAACCCACCGGAGATCCAGAATCCCTCGCCGGCCGCATCGGTATTCGAGAAATGGGCTCGCGGGTAGCACCTGAAGACGCCCCGCAGACGAAGAAGAAGGCCACCGGGCCTGTCGACATCGAGCGAGGCGCGATTCGGGAAGGCGAGGACGTGCTTGCACGAGAACAGAGAAAGTTACAGAAGGGACAACCGGCTCAGACACGGGGGCAAGGGATTCTCTCTGCGGCTGATGCGCTTGTTGAGGGTCTGAAGTACCGCCCACGGACGCCGGCTACGCGTGCGACGTACGATCTCATCCTTACCATGACCGCCAGCCACTTGGGTGATGTTCCGCACGAGGTTGTCAGGAGTGCGGCGGATGCTGTGCTGGAATATTTGAAGGATGAGGATATGAAGGATTTCGATAAAAAGAAGGAAATTGACGACTTGCTGGGGAGCTCGATGAATCCCAAGGAGTTCAACGAGTTGGTCAACCTGGGCAAGAAGATTACGGATTACGATGCTCAAGATGAGGATGAAGAGATGGAAGGTGGTCTGGAAGGCGAAGCTGGCGGGGAACTGGATGAACGCCAGGGTGTCGCTGTCGTCTTCGACGAGGAGGATGAAGATGAGGACCGGATGGGCACCGAAGTTCGCGACGAGGACGAATTAACGGACGAGGAAGAAGAGGAAAAACCAGAGGGTGAAGAGGCTGCAGAGAGACCCGACCTTGAAGGTCTCGATGGCGAGGCAGAGGAAATGGTCATTGACGGTGGCGTTGGCCGCGATGAGAAGACCCGCGGAAAGACGATGACTATACCCGCCCGCGAGATCGACGCATATTGGCTTCAGCGCCAGATCGGTGGTATTTACTCGGATGCCCATATTCAGCAAGAGAAGGCTCGGGATGCACTCGAGATTCTCGGTGGCCAAGGCGAGGACGGCGCAGAGCGACCGCTTCGTGATGTTGAAAACGACTTGATGGAGCTGTTCGACTACGAGAGCCCCGAACTTGTCGCCAGACTTGTGATGAACCGTGACAAGGTCGTCTGGGTCACCCGCTGGAGAAGAGTCGCCGAAGATGCAGATGCCCGCAATGAGGTTGAAAGTGAAATGGTTGGAACAGGACATCGTGCTATTCTGGACGAGATCCGGGGCAAGCCTACCCGTGAAGAGGGGGCTGGTCGGCCCGAGAAGAAGATCAAGCTTGATCTGATGGATGTCGATGTCCCGAGAGGTGCGCCGGAAGAGAAGGCTGAAGAACCCACAGGACC